GAACCTGATTATTGCACTCGGCCCGGGGTCCAACATCTGTATTCACGTCGTATTGATTCATTGAAGCAACCGTCGGACAACCAATGGAGCTATGAAGCTATGAAGATGCTCGTCAGCGTCCAGTGTCACAGCGTTATGAAGACAGCAATGAGACCCACCTCTCGCCTAATTATCTTGGTAATGGGCTGCCAATATTGCTCATCATCTGGTACACACTCCGACGAGAGAAGGAAGGAACCAAACAATGTAAATTAGTGCAGAAAGAATAGCAGCAATGTGTACAAGCCATCCCCATGTACTCGACCATACATAGCCGATCCAGTCGTCAACGACTACGGTCAATCCCAATCGTCATCGTCATCTTCTTCCTCATCGCTGTCACCCAATTTCTTGTTCCGCTCCAGGAGCGCGGCTGCCAGCGCGGCCGTCAGGTCGCCGCCGCCTCCACCGCCCCCGCTCGAGGAAGCGCTCTCCTCCGCGGGGGGCGATGTCGGACGCGCGGGTGTTGCGTTCGGGTCTGTCTTTCGCAACATGTGCACGCCAGCACTTTGTATAGATGCGAGCAGCGCATCGCGTCCGGGCGCTGGTGCGGGCAGGCCGGCAGAGGGGCCAGGGGAACCGCCAGCTGGTGGAGGCGGAGGCGGCGGAGGCGGCATTCCTCCTGATGGTGGTGGCGGCGGAGGAGGAGGAGGAGGAGGGGCCCCGCCGGCAGGAGGAGGAGGTGGAGGAGGAGGTGGCGGAGGTGGGCCACCGGAAGGCGCTGGAGGCGGAGGCGGCGGAGGGCCACCCGACGGAGGAGCTGGACGGGTCGGTGGGGGAGGAGGCGCTACGGCTGGGCGTGCTGGCGGAGGAGGAGGTGCCGGAGGTGCTGCCGTTGGACGCGGCGGAGGGGGCGCGGGTGGGGCAGGAGTCGGGGCAGCGCTTCGGGGAGGAGTCGGGGCAGCGCTTCGGGGAGGAGTCGGGGCAGCGCTTCGGGGAGGAGTCGGGGCAGCGCTTCGGGGAGGAGACGGGCGCGGTGCAGCTGCCGGCGGCGGTGGGGGCGCCTGGGGGGTGGGCGGTGGCGCACTGCGCGGGGGCGGGGGAGCGCGGGTCGGCGGGGGCGCTGGAGGCGCTGGGGGCGCTGGGGGCGCAGCCGGAGGCGGAGGAGGCGTCGCAGGTGCGCTCTCCTGTTGGGTAGGTATGCCGCGACGCGGTGCAGGCGGCGGCGGCGGTTTCTTCTTCGCAGCGGGTGGGGCAGGCGCGCTCTTCTGCGCGTCGCGGACAAAGTCCTTGATGAAGTCCATATTCTGCTCAAGGACTTCACGCGACAGGCCGTGGCCCTCGAGCTGAGAAAGGAATGCCGACCAGGACGGATCCACATTCGAGGACGTAAAGCCCTTCACAGGATCGTAGCCCATGTGCGCGACATGCTGAAAGGAGCCCGATGTGGGCCCGGAGATCATGGACTTGTCGATCTTGCCGCCCTTGGACGCTTTCTTCTTGTTGGAGGACTTCGGTTTCTCTGTGGTAACGTCAGTGGCCAAAGTGGCGGGAATACAACGGCAGCAGGACGCACCAGTTCCCACCTTCGTGGTGGTGACTTTCTTGTAAAACGTCTTCGCCTCGCTCTCTTCAGCAAATACAATGCCAATCATGCATTCCTATGAGCAGATCAGTGGGAATCCTCAGCAGACCGACGAGCGACCTACATCACCGGGAAACGAGTGGAAGAATGGGCGGTCCTGGAAGTATTCGAGCCCCTCATACAGCTCATGTTGCCATATCACGCCCCGCGTACCCGCGAGGTCAACCATACGCAGATAAAGCGCGCCCTTGGACTTGTCATGTATGAACGCGAGCGCGCCCTGCAGCCCGGCATACGACCACTCGTTCGGGTTCGGATGCGCATAGTATATGCGCGCCAGCGCCGCGGTGTGGATCTTGTTTGAGTTGTTCGGTACAGCGGCCTTGACCTTGGATTTGTCGTCGCTCGAGAGTGTGGATTGCGCGGGCATCGCAGAATGTGGCGAGCGCGAGAGAAAGGAGAACTGCGGTACTTCGCCGCAGCGAGCGAAGTGAAAGCTGTAACTGATGTCAGCGGACAAGCGCTCCGTGTAAACGCAGATATCCTCCATATAACCCCTTAATTGTATAATATCTAAGATCAAATACCTTCAGATAACTGCCTGCTCTAAGATTAGACTGGCGATTGCCGAGATGCAACACCATCGTTTAGATCAATGGAATAATAATCAGAGCAGTCGTCCCTTAGTGCAGAGCCTTGCGCACCGCCTGTCTCAATCTCCTCATAACCATACGCTCGCTCGGGTACACCGCACTCAACCTCTCAACTTTCTTCAACAATGGCCGACCAGCTGGTGAGTGCACTTGGCAGTAGCCCTTCACGGGTGCACTAACGGTCGTGCTTAATCTCTATCAGACAGAAGGTGTGTGCTCTATTGTCTTGGGTCTTCGGATTGCCATTTTGCTTACGACGTGTCGAAAATCTAGAGCAGATCTCTGGTAAGTAGTCGCAGCCGAAGTGTCGCGAGACTGATCTGGACCGACGCGCAGAGTTCAAGGAGGCCTTCTCGCTATTCGACAAGGGTGCGTCGCTCCAACCCACTGATACTTCCCTTCTCGCTCACAGATCCCCTATAGATGGCGATGGCACGATCACCACGAAGGAGCTCGGCACAGTCATGCGCTCGCTCGGGCAGAACCCCACGGAGGCAGAGCTGCAAGACATGATTAACGAGGTCGACGCGGATGGCAACGGGACCATCGACTTCCCCGAGTTCCTCACCATGATGGCGCGCAAGATGCGCGACACCGACAGCGAGGAGGAGATTAAGGAGGCCTTCAAGGTCTTCGACAAAGACGGCAACGGCTACATCAGCGCGGCCGAACTCCGGCACGTCATGACCAACCTTGGCGAGAAGTTGTCGGACAACGAGGTGGACGAGATGATTCGTGAGGCGGATGTCGATGGCGACGGCCAGATTAACTACGATGGTGCGTTCCTCGCCTCTTCCACAACCACTTGGCTGACGTACGACCTTCGGGTTCCCATCAACACAGAATTCGTAAAGGTGCGCATTACAAATAGTGTTCTGCCTTCCATTGCTAATCCCTTACAACAGATGATGCTCTCGAAGTGATCGGACTACACCATGTCTTCCTTTCCCGTTCACTCACCTTAGTCCTTCCATCTCTCTCATCGCTGGCGGTACGATAGTGCAGTTATTAAACGAAATTATTCAATGCTCGCTCGTATTTCGATTTTGAGTCGCCGTCGTCATGCTTGAGCTATACAGGCTCGTGCCAGACAACGGGCACCTGCCATATCGGGCACAGTCGATCGCTCCTGTGTCACGTGCAGGGACGTCATGGCTGGGCCACTTCTCCGCCACCCGCTGCGCCGCTGCTCTAGACGGCCACACTTGCTGACTACTCCTATTGCGGCATATATATAAGTGCTGCGAACCGACTGAACACTATCGCGCACCTCTAAGTCCAACCCCCATCACACGTTCCACGCAACCCTTGCATATATTCCTCGGATATCACATCTGCGAACGATAATCAACATAATGTCTCCATCGCAGAAGAACGAGCCCACGTTCAACATCCTGCCGCACCCAGCTGTACTTGCCCTGTTTACCCTTCTCGTCGATATCCACTGATCATTACCTGGCTTTACAGAAGTCGAACGACCCGAAGGATCTCGAGCCTCCGCAGCCTGGCGGCGGGTTGAACAGCAACCCAGAGCAGCAGGCATTCCACGCGCGCGATCCATACGTGCCCAGCGCGGATCTGCTAAAGAATGTTGAGCAACCTTTGGTAGGATTGATCATTGTGATCGTTGTGTTCATTGCACTGATAACGGTGTTGCCTACAGAGTCGGGAGGAGCTGCGTGCTCGCACGGCTCAGCTGAACAAGCAATGAGCGTGTACAGGAATACCTTGTATTTTTGTCAACCTGTTTGGGCTGTATACTTGATGATCATCGACCATAATTACATACATGCCGAAATTGTTCGGAGAGCCGTTGAAGCAAGTTTGATGCCTGAACGGCCTCTTCACATAAGTAGGGCTAAACTTACCTCTATGCGCTCAACTTTATCCATTGTACGTCGCATTTGCTAAGACCGTTCTTCGTCTTCGTCTTCTCTACGAGCAAAGACGTCTCGTCGCCCATAGATAGTAGGATGAGTCGAGCTGTCATGCAAGCCGCGATTAGCACTATCACTTGCGATGTGCGCGCCATGCCCCTGTAGAAGGTTGTTTTCGGCCGTCGCATATCCATGGCGAGTCCCACAACTTCGCCGAACGGCTCTGATGGGCATGGCACAAGTTCAAAGAACAGGCAAGAGACTATCACCGGCGAGCACCTTCGCGCTCCCTGTCGCGGAAGACTCTTCCAAAAGGGGAAGGTCAGGTTCGGATGCGCCGTTGAGAACGAGAACCTGAAAGATATTGTGACCGACAAAAGAGAGGTCATGCCGGAGACGACCAAGACCTCGCTGCCAGGCGTATCGTGCAGCGTGAGCGTATTGACCGACTGCTTCCCCCGCAGCGTTCTTCATCGTCAGGCTTCATGGAGCGCGGATTGTCCTCTACGGCACCCAAGTACGTCTAGTCCCTGTACACTAATTGGGTATTCATGCCATAATTGCGGTACGCTGATGACGTGATATGAGTACTGCCATCAACACTCACGTTGATCTCGCCGTCCTTCGTAGCCGTCCATTGCCAATACGCGCAGATGTTAAGGAGAGTTCTCATCTCGTAGGGTACAACGAGAACATTAACCTCACTAACGGACCAGGACAGCTTTCCAGTGTGGACTCCGTAGCTCAGCAGGTTGCAAGTGGGAGACAAGGCGTAGCGGGATGTAGATCGAGCTGTGTCGAATTGCCACCGGGATTGCGAGCATAAGAAGTTCAAGAGATTCCTCAACAACCGTCGTTTCGAATTCAATATATCTATAGTCATTGAGCATGAAGAACAACAGCTTTAATTGACCCCTGGCGGTCACGGAGACGTAGTCGATGAAAGGGTGTAGCAATTGACCACCTTCGATTCGCCGCTCGTGCCTCTAGTCCACTGCAAGTAGCTGCTGATAAGCCCGCCGAATGTCCATTCGCCGAAAACGATGAGGATGGAGCCTTCATTCCGTTCACGCTCCTCAGACGCTGCGATACCGTCATCATTGGACAATACGCCGCAATTGAGCTTCCCGCGGTGGATTATCACGGTATTCTACTGGTATATAATCAATCTAGTAATCGATGACATGATAGTTGACACACAGGGTAGACCGCTTGCGTCAAGATTGATATGTGGGCTTGAACTACGAGGCAACATTTGCTTGAATTGTCAACTAACCTGACTAACGAAGCCATAAGCACCACATGTCAGACGCGGGCAACAACGAGGAATCGTACAAGTAAATGCGCCTTTCGACGAGAAGGAAGATTGAAACACGATTCCAAGACTCTAAGCCGGGGGCAGCATCCTCCGACATGGCTGTTATCGATGCAGTTCTAGAATGTGGAGTCATAGAAGTGCCAATAGGAGGTAGCATCCAAGCTAACCTTCCCCTTTGACATTGCGCCGAGCAGGTGATGCCGCTCGAGGCATATACCATTTTACCGTTAGGCACGATGTATAGTCCACGACCAACGATTGGTCGACAAGAAAGCCTAGACATGTTGCAAGCACGATCACCCACACCAGAAGGGACCCTGGGGTGCTTGTATGGAAAGTCTAGGCTCTGTGAGCATTGTGGTACTGTTCAGCGCGCAGAGATGCCGGCGCAGTGTACCCAAGAATGCGTTTCAAGCTAGAATGACTGTAGCGTGATGTTCTTAGTTAAACACTGATGTCGCCTTTGTCTCAATTGAGACAAGAACGGCATGAGTATGAGAGCGTTTGCGACATTAACAGGCATGGATTATGAACCCGGAAGCCGTGGGGCGTTCTTCAAAGTGGAAAGGTCTCAGTTCTCATATATCTCCCGTCCGCAGCCCTCCTACAGAAGTCCATGAGGCTTGAGGAGGACAGCTGACTGCATGCAGTTGTAACGGAACATTACAGCTTCATCAGTATGCGGGGTCGGGCTGAAGGTTCAAACCTGCCATTTAGTAGGACCCTGGACTGCAGTAAAGTTTTTGTAACACACGGTGCTTATTGCATGTTCTAGCTCCAGATGCGCCAGATTACATGTACAGAGTGGACCTTTGGAAGAACAGTCGACGGTGATGGTAGTATATTTGGTGTAAGCGGCCCTGCCTTAGTGCGACCGCCGGGCGAGATGGGGCACCATACGCGCGGCCTCGTGAGCACTCTCCGTGGATGAATGTGGGTGAGGGGTAGCGAAATCGGAGACGTCAGAATGCTGAGAGGGAGTGCTGAGGGCCTGTCCGATGTGTTCGTTATTACTCGACTTGCGCCCACGCGTAGAGTATAAAATCGTTGAACTTAAACTAAAGACGGTAGTATGTCACATGATCGCATATCGGAGTCGTACCTACGCCGTTCGTCCTTACGTGCGTGATGCCTACAGGCTAGATAAGATACGAATATATTCCGTCCTGCTGAGTTACGACAAGACGAACAGGTATGTAAGACGGAGGCAGGAGCTTTTTCCGGGCGCATGCTGAAGCTATCTCGATCGCTCACATAAGCGCTGCTCGGTGTCGGCCTCCCGCCAATCAGCGAGCAGGAGTTCCAGGAAACTTTCGGGGTGTTTGCATCGACTTTGTCTCTTGGACCAATCAGGTGGCAAGATGGTCAGGATTGAACTAACACACCCGACTCCGAGTTTCACCAGTGGTCAGTTGTTCCGGAAGTGACAGAGTTTCCACTAGGATCAATCTGTACACCTATGAAAAGGTAGGTAAGGTTAGTTTCTGCTCGTGCCTTGATGTTAACGAATCGTGACTAGCAGAGAGTTCTGGCGGCTGTTGGGCCATCGTACAGGATAGTTCGATTGACCGCATATTGAGTTTACCGGAGTGGCTTAAGCTTCCATTCACCCACTAGACGCGGACCACACCTCGAATGTCTCGTAATACACGGTATAGCGTCCACAGGATCAAAATCCGGAAGCCGTAGACTTAGTAGCTATCTAAGTTGGATCCATGTGTGTTCCGTCATTGAGAAGTCCGATTGCGAGATCAGTGCGCTTACTCCTCGCTCACCACAGATCGCGGCTAGACTAGTCGACCCAATGGGACTAGTGCATGGTAGGCCATCGACGCTCTCGAGCGGTTCATGTAGTATGTACTGACATACAGAGATGTATGTCGTATCGGCTGTACTTGCAAGGTCCCTATCACAGGATCTTGTGGGGAGCATATGTTGAATCGGAGACACTGATACGTGTTGGTCCATATACAGTAGATTTGCGGTCACTCAAAACGAGAAGGTGCATCAATTCACGACACAAGCCTCACTTATGGTTTAGAATGATATTATACTGAAGAGGGCGGAATTGTAAGTTCTTGTCATCATCAGGCGGTCCGTGTCCTTTCTGTGGGATAAGCGATTCGCTTCGACTGTCTAGCTCAGGCTCACAGCAGGTAGTTCACATCGTAGGTGTGAGCTCTTGCAAGCGCAGAGATGCTGTCTGTCTCATTGAGACCCTTAGAAGCGGAAAGTTTCTCTAGAGTAGGGTTAATCTCTGTTCAGGATCTGGGGTCTTTGCTGGCATTATGTGTTCGGTGATATTCAGTTCCGGATTCTCTATGGTGGTGTGCAGCGAATTGAGTACTCAACACATCATCCTCATCACCTCACGGAGCTTAGGTAACCAGGTAGCTGAAGGTATAAAAGGCCGGAACTTCCGACCGTCTATTCACTCACCCAGGTGTCCCTCAAGTTAACATGTCAAACACAGGCCCACCCGTGTCGAGTCCGCCCCCTCCAGGGCTTTACTTCATTCAGAATGTCAACAACAATCTGTATGTTAGACTGGCCAACGGCAGCGATGACACTCCCCTGACTGCTACGTCCTCTCGTAACAATGACGGAAAGGTATGTTCCTATCCATAGCCTGACCTCGATACACTGTAGTAACAGTCCGGGTTGCTCTGGTACAGTGGCGTCTCTCAGATTCGGCGTCCACGGCCTCCGGATCTGCATTTCTCAACTATCAGTATGATACCCAGTACGCACATGCAACGAACGGGGGCCTGGTGGGCAGCCTAGTCGTGGGACAGACCACTTCGCAGAAGTTCAATATCAAACATGTAGGTGGGGACCAGTTCTGGTAAGCATTAAGAATCATATTCTCGAAGAGATCAGAATAACAGTCTTCATCCTAGGATCACCACTGTGGAGTCAGGAAGCAACTTAGGTTGGGCCCTTAAGGGAACAACGCCAGGCACGACGGTGAGGTCAACGCATATATCTCGGGAACTATAATCTCATCACTCGTGACTGATCATAGGTTACTCTTGACCAAACAACTGTCGGCGACTCCGTGAAGTGGCGATTCATACCGACTGACTAAATGTTCTGGCCCCTGCTCACTTCCGTCGCTTCACGAGGAAGGCGTAGCGAGCTTCTGTATATCTACATTTGTATCAAGGCTTGTTTGTAACTGCCGATTCAACTCGGCGCAAGTGTCTGTAATGATCATCCGGGGCCCACATTGAATCCACATTGGTTGTTATAAGCGAGTGGGGGAGGCTTATACAGACTAGAGGGCCATGACTGTCCACGCACTCATGTGGTCCGATGTATGTACCCGTCACGGGTCTTTGCCGTGCAACTAGAGCCTGTTAATTTTTATCGCAGCCATTGAGAGTCACACTTCCTGTCGTCATCCCGGTAACCCGCTCGCCACAGATTTATTATATGGTCTCGATATTCTTGGCAGCTTGTAGAAAACGAAAAGCCTCCATTTCGAACATATGTCGAAAACTTGACTTACGCACGCCGCACAGGCTTCCTCTTTTGCGGCGCGCGGTGCTTCTTTACAGAGCACCTCAAGGACACCCAGAAGCGGTACAAGTAGTGGAACATGCATTGCTTTTCAACACGAATAACGCACGTGTTTTAGAGACGCAGTCTGTGTGCTTGTACATGCTATGCGTCTTGTCGTTGAGGAACTGTCTTGCCAAATGGATCAGAGAATGAACTTCAGCATCTCCCCGACCAGTTCACCCATGCAATCGCTAGGTGATGAATTTCCGGTCGTGAAACTCGACGGAAGAACATGTTCTCGCGGGGGAATTGTCTTATGAAATCAGAGTAAAGAAGCAGACTTGACAGAATGGGAAGCCTTCGACCGACTCGGACACACCAAAGGATTTACGACGCGATGCTCAAGGACCTGGACACCGATAGGTAGACACGCTAAGGCGTTGGGGCAATAGCAGTACCTTACACAATATGGTTGAGGGCTTTTCACTGGCATTTTGGGACCGAACCTCAAGCTAGCTCGACGGACCAGTAGGTCGATTCAGAGTTGCCGCTGAAATGTCACTCAGCGAAAATGAAGCAACTTTTCGCTGCTTTTGAGCGCCCAAATGTGGCTGAAGGTCGCTGAAAGCGTCACAAATGACTAAGCGTAATGTAGCCGTGACATGATCACGTTCTCGGCTCGCGAAGGGCCGACCAGCCAATCAGGTTGACGAGTCATGCAAGCGTGACAAGCCAGAATCTGCGAGCGCTTGCGACGAGGTCGCTTATCCGTCGCTGTTCGAGGAGGAGATGTGAGATTATGTTCTCTGGGGTTTTTTCAGCAACATTTCAGCGGCAACTTTGAATCAACTTAGTCGCTCAAGCGTCTCATAAGCGCCGGTGAAGCGTCACTCCAGCACCGCGCGAGCGTCATCAAACATCAAAAGCACTACGCCAGACGGCGACGAAGATTGCACATATACATCGCAGCCGTGGTGAAAGTATGGATTCTGGGCTTACCCGCGACAGCCCACCACAGAATTCACTAAGAATAGCCGACACCAGTTATTCCTCGCAAAGCTAAATCAAACTGGGGAGAGGAGGGCACACCTGCGACGCCTCCTCCGCCGCCACCGACCCATCCAGCTGGCAGTTCACATGGCCCATCTGCCGGCTTGCCCGCCCCAGCGCCCAGACGCGACGCACTGCTCGCATCTATACAAAGTGCTGGCGTGCACATGTTGCGAAAGACAGACCCGAACGCAACACCCGCGCGTCCGACATCGCCCCCCGCGGAGGAGAGCGCTTCCTCGAGCGGGGGCGGTGGAGGCGGCGGCGACCTGACGGCCGCGCTGGCAGCCGCGCTCCTGGAGCGGAACAAGAAATTGGGTGACAGCGATGAGGAAGAAGATGACGATGACGATTGGGATTGACCGTAGTCGTTGACGACTGGATCGGCTATGTATGGTCGAGTACATGGGGATGGCTTGTACACATTGCTGCTATTCTTTCTGCACTAATTTACATTGTTTGGTTCCTTCCTTCTCTCGTCGGAGTGTGTACCAGATGATGAGCAATATTGGCAGCCCATTACCAAGATAATTAGGCGAGAGGTGGGTCTCATTGCTGTCTTCATAACGCTGTGACACTGGACGCTGACGAGCATCTTCATAGCTTCATAGCTCCATTGGTTGTCCGACGGTTGCTTCAATGAATCAATACGACGTGAATACAGATGTTGGACCCCGGGCCGAGTGCAATAATCAGGTTCATCTTTGCTATGTACATACGAGGGTCTCATTCTCACACGGTATGGTCTCCCGAGAATGACACGACGCTTCCTCAGTGGTAGGCGTGCGTCCAGATGTCCATATGTGCTGATATCGTCACGGAAGAAGATGTGGACTCGCCAGCGGCGTTTTGTCATCACGTTCTGCCTGTAACATTGTAACATGACCATGCTTCCTGACCGCATCCCACGCCTTATATACGGCTGTAGTGCAAGTGGGCAGACTAGGTCTTGTTCGCAGCTCACGACGATTTCAGACCACATCATCTATGACTGCGTTCACTAACATGGACGTTTTGTCCCGCGAGTCGGCTTTGCTCGCTGGCATCGCCATCTTCACGCTCTATTTGCTGCATTCTGTTCGGGCGCGACGCAAAGGTGGGCTGCCCCCTGGCCCACCGGGTATTCCCATCCTCGGGAATCTGCTCCAGCTCAACCCTCTACGCCCGCATCCTACTGTGAGTGCACATCTTTAGCTGTGCCCGCAGCAGTGACATACTGAATATGCGCGTAGTACCTGAAATGGGCGCAGAAGTATGGCCCGATCTTCTCCATCAAGCTCGGCATGCAGCGCGTCATTGTGCTGAACACAGCCGAGGTCGCGGATGAGCTGCTTGTGACGCGCAGCAAGCTGTATTCGAGCCGCCCAGACCTGCATGTTGCGAGTGACCTCGTGAGTGATGGACAGAGGATGGTGTTGATGGCGAACAACAGGGAGCTGAAGGTTCTGTGATTCGCGTTGGTTGAGTGTCTCTGATTAATAGACTGACGTTTTCGTATTTGTATTGTTCAGATTGCAAGGCGAACACTACAAGGAATACTCTCGCCTGGGCCGTCGAAGAAGATGCGCAACATGCAGGATCTCGAGTCGCGCGTTCTGCTGCGCGACCTGGTTGTCCACGGCGATAGCAGTTTAACCGAGACATTCACTGAGGGCCCACATGGCGAGGTACCTGAGCGGCACTGGTTCTCGGTGTTCAGACGATACGTGAGTGCCTCATACCAGTGACACAGACCTGTGGTCTTGACCTCGTGTTGGCGTCTAGACCACGAGCATTGTGATGTCGCTTTCGTACGGCCAGCGAATGAACCGCTTCCTCGATAATCCAGACCTGTGCGTTGACTCCTTGCTCTTGCTGACTTATTGAAGTTACGGACTGTTATGATGGCAGGCACAAGGTGTACGAGGCCATGTCTGTATTCATGCACGCTTCCGAGCCGGGAAATTACCTGTTCGTGCAGTCACATTTGTGGTGGGAACACCCTGCCTAACAATGTTTGTACAACAGTGCGGATGTATTCCCAATCTTGCGACGGCTGCCTGACATACTGGCCCCGTGGCGCAAGGAAGGGCGTCGGATGCACGAGTGGCAAGTTGATCACTTAGATTCGCGTATGTTCTCGATCACTGACGACAGCGAGCAGGGAGATGGGGCTCTGGGGAAAGCTACTGGATGAGTGCAGCTCTGACATAGCGAAGGGCATCGCACGCACAGGATTCGTATCCGACTATCTACGCGCGCGCGCAGAGGCCGGGCTCGGTGACCTGCCAGGAAACGGTGCTACAGACGACGGCGTTGGATGGATGCGCGACAAATTCCTTGCATATACGGCTGCCTCGGTGCTCGAAGCAGGCTCAGACTCGAGCTCGACGGTGATGTTCTCGTTCATCCTGTTCATGCTCAGCAATCCAGACGCATTGCAACGCGCTCGCGAAGAGATGGACAGGGTGATAGGACCAGATCGGATGCCTGGCTGGGAGGACGAGGATAGGCTGCCCTGGCTTGTGGCCTGCATCAAGGAGACCCTCCGTATCCGACCGCCGTTCATCTCAGGCCTACCACATGTGGCGGAAGAGGACGACGTCTACAATGGCTATTTCATCCCCAAAGGCTCAATGGTGATTGGTAACGTTTATGGGATTCATATGGACCCTGCTCGGTACCTCAACCCTTCGATGTTCGATCCTGAACGGTTCTACAACGCGGATTCGGGACTGCAGTGGAACAGTGGTCCGGATTCACAGAACCGTGCCAAGTAAGCTCGATTCACCTATGCACGTCCTCGTGCGCTCATAACGATGGCTGTTGCTAGCTATGTCTTCGGGTGGGGACGGCGGTTTTGCATAGGCAAGCATTTGGCGGAGGCGTCTGTGTTCATCGTGCTTGCGAGGCTGGTGTGGGGAGTGGACTTTTACGCCCCGGCAGACTCCCACACGGGCATGCCTATCCTTCCGGATGTGAAGGACGAGGCGTCGTGGACGGACGGATTGGTGAGCGCACCAAAAATCTTCTCTGTGGGCTTCAAGCCTCAGTCCGAGAAACACGCGGAGGTGATCAGGAGGTCGTACGTGGATGTACAGGCGGAGTGGGAGGCATTGGGGCAGCCCGTCGACGTGCAATGAGGAAGAGTGGTATCATCGATGATCGCTCCGGTGGTGTTTGTGGCGGCTCATGGTCCGTTATGTATCCGCATTCTAACCACACCCTTCGCAATTGATTTATGAGAACCAAGTTGATCGAAAAATGGGATTGAATCATGCCGGAAGATGACGGCTTGTGATTAGCGAATAGGCCGTCAGAGATGGCGTCCGCATGCTCTCCTATCCTGGCAAGTATGGTGGCAACGGGCCGCCGGAATTGCAGCTCGACCGCAAAGCCGCCATATGTTCTGTCAATGTGCCTATTGGCTAGAGCTCGGAGTGGCTAATACGACATGTTGTTACATTGCTCTCGTGGCTAGAGGCTGCGTAGCTTGAGTATCCAACTATCAAAAATCAAGATGTGATATGCAAGTGGGACTCGGGACTCCAAGGGTCAGATGAATAGTCTCCTCCTGTGATGCTCTTCAACCCTTACAATAAGAAATCTACGTACGCGAGTCATCAAAGCGAAGGCTAATACCGACGTGAAGGCGCCACCTGATGCCACTGGTAGATACCAAGATAGGCAGGTGAGCCAAATAGAGCGCGCATCAGTAAAATTCCCCTTCTTCCGATAACCGATTCTCTAAGATCCTATACCGGTACACAAGAACATAAGCGTCATATAATCACCCTTTACCACGACGGATTACTACCGACAATCTTGCGGTATATTCATGATGCGCAAATAGCAAGTCCGAATCTAGGCTACCTATCATTCCGTTTCCATGTGTAAATTCAACTCTAGCTAGTGTGTACCATATTCGACTCTCAATACACATGCCGCAGCCATTCCTATTTCCTAGATTACTTCATTTGCACGTTAGTGTTGGAATAACGGTGCGAACGGCGCGGGGCGCGTTTGTCCACGGGCGTAGCGATGCCTGTAAGGGACAATCGCGTACAGTACATACATCGCGCGCGGTCGTTTTATACTACGATAGGGGGCCTCCGGCCCCCGGCTACTCGCGCGCCCGAGCTTTCGAGCTCGTTCCTGACCGTGCGCGTCTGCGCGTTTCAACAGTTAGTTCGCATCTCAACCCTGAGTGTGCTTCTACTAGGTGCGTCGAGCTGTGTTCTCGCACACCCAATCTCCTTCATACTTCGTCGGCAGCCCCCCGCCTTCATGTATTAGTCTTGGCCTTGTACTGCTTACGCGCCAGAGACATAGCCATTGTGAACCCTTTATCGCTCCCGTCAGTTGAGCGACTGGCGATCTTGAGGTCGGTGTCACTGTACTCCGCCGTCTTTATATTGCTTACGCATTAGCCTATATACAGAGCACACTCCAGTATCGTGATCCGATGTATCATATCTCACAGAGACAGTTTCGAATTCTTTACCACGCAGAATACCCTGCAGAAGTGTTCTTTGACCTGATGTTCCCTATTGGATGATACCACTGTATTCGAAATACATTGACTGATAGGCTATTTAAGGATCCAAATGCCGCGATGTGCTGCGCTCGCGCCACGAGGATCCCACGTCAAACGGGCTCTCCCAAGCTCTGGCACTCTGCTCACGCCAAGAGAGGAGCACGATCATGATCGTAGCAGGGCCGTAGCAGGGTTTTCATATCGTTTATGACGTCGTGTTAGCTCTCTCGCGATGCCATCTCCTGCTATGGTCCCATGCCCGTGGTTCCGAATCATGATCGGATAGTAGGCAGGTCTTGTGAGCACCGGCCGCGTTATACCCGATCACCATAGGCTGAAATGGTAAGAGCCTGCCTCTTCTTCACCATATAAGAGTGCGTATTGCATGCTGCTATTGAAATTGCGCTGTGTGCTTGGCTTCTTCAACGACCAATTCATGGCACTTCGTCTGATACATTGTGGGTACTTCGCCTTCAACTGCACCCGCGACTTCTTGAAGATATGATCGTTGCGTGACATCTACTGATACCGTATGGCTGCAGACGAGCACCAATGGAACTATCAGTGCTCATCAATGCGCATCGTTTGACTGCAGGATCCGTCGACGATTTGATTGTTTCGATGTTACGTTTCGCCTGCCTACAAAACCTGCTCTATATAAGCGAAAATCAACTACTGGCGTGCATCGCTGCTCCTCTCAAGCACTCCTCTACGATAGCAAGTCATGCCAGGCCCCCTGGGTGGTACCTTGGGCACATTCTGTTTCGCGATTTTGTGGGTGGTTCACGCTCGAAGGAAGCTCACATGATTCTTAGCACGATCGTGACCGTTGCTCTTCGACCCAGGCTTTTCGGAAGCGCATCAGCCCAGATCTACAACTATTGGTGGAACTACCCTGACGAACCCCAATTACATCGTCATGCAGTCGCCACTGTATGGTCAGCCGCATTTAACGACTTTCATAGTCATTTAACTGACGATTCCTGTAAGGCTCATTGATACGGTTCATACCGCAGTCTGTATAATGGCACTATATCGCTGGATGATCGTCGACTTCAACGATTATCAACTCATTCAGAATCTATCATGGCAAGCCGCTAGTTGTTCCTATCGTATTGTCTCTTTATTGATCATCGAAGTCGTGAACCTAGGCCTATAGCTGTAAGTGCTTTATTCTGCACGCAAACACATCGACGCTACATTGTTGACAGATATCGATCATGTTCGAGGTGAGTGTTATTGCAACTTAAGTGTAGGTATTATCAAAGATGGGATCTGCCTGTCTAGGTTATGCTTTCCGGTATTGTGCAAAGGTATTTTACTAATCCTTTCCCCGATCCTTTCGTAACGCACCGGACAATAGCTTTTACATTCGGCAGGTCTGGTTCTGTAAATCTTCTAGCACTCAAATGCACGCAGTTCACTGACCACTTAATTGAAGGGAGCCGGAAAAACATCACTTTGTGTGCTACGATGGTGCGTCCACAGACATCGCTTGCGTACAGCTGCTCTTCACATACAACGATATAGGCAATCATGTTGATCGCCCGAGTCGGTACGCAGCCAGCTTCTCAGATGGCAGACCAAGACATCTGACTTTACTTGCCAGCCTTTGGCCTTGGTATTCATGCTTTCCATCCAAATATTGTTCGTTGCTAATATGTGCCGTGCGCCAGCTACTGTCAGCTTCCTGCAAGTGCAAATATAATTCGAGCGACTAGCTTCTATCTGATGTGCTGCCCAGATTGAAGTTCAAGACGGTCGATGCATTTGGTGCGAGCAGAGAGCCCCTCGTGAGCGATGCCAGGTTGCCGCGCCTCGATGTATTCATTTGTCACAGATCAGCTTGACCTGCGGCCTTGGCTTGGCGACCATTGTTGACCTCATGGTGTCCATCTCACTGGTGTATTACAGGCTAAAGGTGCCGAGACGTGCTGATCAGTACGTACTGCACGACTTGGTAGTGTTGGTTTTTGGAGATACTCACTGGTGGTATGGGTTTGCGTAGGGCGATGCATTTTGTTGAGCGCCTCCAATACTTCGCGATCAACACCGGGGTTCTCACCATGTCAGTATGTTTAATGGTGCCCTAGTGAGTGATGACTGATACGAGAGATAAAATAGGCTTGTCTCCCTGGCGAGTGTATTGACTGTGAGTACCCCGGCGCCTTCTGAGTACCACAGTATTCACGCATCCATAGTACGCCGTCCTGAGACCACAACCGGTATACATAGGTGTCCTAGAGATACAAGCCAAATGTGCGTTTCACTCTTGCCTGGTTACACCTGAGAAGTAAGATCCGATATCCACCGGCAGTGTACACGAACTCCTTCATCGCGACGTGCGTGCTTCGGGCACCCTGTTGTAACTCAGCTAACCGAAGCCAACCTACACGACATCAGCATGTCAGAACATGCGACCATACGCACAGAAGCAAGCGAGGCCAAAGAGCTCGATCTGGCAAGTCGCATGCAGGGGCAGCCCAACACCAATCCCAGCGCAGTGAGTTATCTTGTGATACCTGATGAGGGCTGAATTCGAAATGCGTCTTCCAGCGCCGCGCCACGCGCCACCGGCCGAAAAGCAAGTTCGCGGGGGAGGATCTGTTCACCATCACAAATGACATCCCTCCCACCCCCTCTCCGATCTCGTCGATCGGCCGTGCCGACGGCGCAGATGCAGAGGCCGATCCAAAGGCCACGTCGTTCCTGCACATGGAGAACGGACATGAAGCTAACACATTATCCGACGCGAAGGCGCAGGCCCTGTTGTGAATGCCTGCCAGCTTGTTCGGTTTGAGGATGGGCTACCTTTCAGCAGGGTGCACGATGATAAACTGTTGATGTACGTTACGCGGGAGTCCCGGTGTATAACAGCTGGATGCGGCATCATCAATGGAGGCTAGGGGGTCATCACGGGGATCAAGGCGAATGCATCAGATCTAGTTTGTTTGACGGCCCAGCCCAACGGTACGCTCTAGTCGCGATAGTAGAGAGATCCACTGTAGCTTGACAAGGGGTGGGATCCGGCTGAAGTGCCCGTGCGCAGTGGAATGTTTATAACACAGCCAGACTGCAACATTTGCCAAGCATCCGACCTCGTGCGGCCAGTTTCATCCACCTGGCAAAAAGCACCGGATGTGTACGGCCGACAAGGCGGTGCCTCATGTAGACCTACCGTTTTGCTGAGAAGTAATGTGCATTCAGACTGCAAGGTCTCAGACAGTGGTGCCGTTATGCCCCGCATAGAGGGTCCATGAAGCGAGAGTGAATGCAATCCTGATATACACAACATAACTAGTCCATTCTGCCCTTGAGCACACGCTTGATCGCCTTGTCTTTTGTTCTGTGTAGCATTCGTAGCCAAAGGAAGCGTCAGCTTCGCACACAAGCCAATAGCCCACCACTCACATTACATGCACGACCGCGCCCCAACCTGAGTACGCGTCTCGGTCCACCGCGTTCAGCAGCGTCTGCGCAATCGTCTCAAACAGGTCCTCCGGCTCCAGGTCCGGCTCCCACAGCCCCTCCGCAACACCAAACAGTTTGCTGCTCGCCGTGCCCGCAACGACAAAGTCCTTCGCGAAGTTGATACACCCAATGAGGTCCGTCGCGGCGATGAACGGCTTGTAGCCGCCGTTCGGGAGCCTCTGGAGCCCCGCCATGACAGGCTCAATGAAGTATGGCCCGAAGCGTCGCTCGTAGAGTGTGGACGAGACGAGGTGCGCGAATGTCTCGGGCTCGATCTCGCGTTCCTCTTTGATAGTGTACATGTTGAGGCGATAGCGGAACTGTTCTCGTCTGCGGAGCAGCGGCTGTTTGGAATATGGTACTGGAGGGAGGATACACGACTCACAGTGTCGTAACGTCAGTCGCGAGTCCGGGGAGCCCGAGGTATACTCGGTCGGTCATGGGAAATATCTTGTACACAGTCAAAGGCTGACAGCATGCTGCAGAGACACACTACGCGCACCTTCTCGAAGTCAGATGCAATACCCAACGCCTGATTTCCTAGACGCAGGTCGGATGCGATCGCGACACAATCTTTCCCGACCATGGCTATGACGGAGCCACCGTTGTATTCCATAATCGACTGCAGGGAGAAAATTGGGTATTGCACGGACATATGCTAAGAATTTCAGCTTACCATGGCTGCAAGATGTTGATCGCGAAAGGGTCAGGCGTTGGGCGGTGGTCGGTGGAAAGCAGAGCAATGTTACGGTACGCGTTCTCGACGCGTAAGTCCCGCCGACGCGCGTCTGGTCGCGCACGTGATTCGTCCCCCATGAGCGTGCCAAATTTGTACCGGGCCTCTTTCAACGCAACTTCGATGTACAGCTTATATGATGCACGCTACTTGCAACAATACGGATGTATGATATCGGACATCACGAATATTGCGGGGACCTGACCGTGATATTGATCTAAACAAACCAACGAGACAACGCCTCCTGCTCACTCGTTCATGGGCCCCAGATGTCCGGCTCTAAGGGTATCTCAGACCCGAAGGCTTCACTGCAGCCGAGTACGATGCGACGCTTGCTGTCTACATGTCACTTGCATAGCTTAAGTCCTCCATATATCGCGAGGATGCTCGTGCACCATAGGCAAAGGTGAGTCTGATTCCGAGTCGCTACCAGTGGAGCAAGCATCTCTGTCACTGAACAGGAGGCGGCGTCGAAAACTTCACGCTGACGTGCCGCGAGAATCGTACCCTCCCCTGCGGAGCTGATCCGTCGAGGCGCTCCGAGTCAATAGCGAAGTTCTTGGCTAGTGCCCGCTGTCTCCGACATAAATGATATTTGTGATAGCAGGGGTGCATAAAACGCTCAGAAGGCGTTGGTTCATATCCTCATCGATACACGATGACCATATTTCCGAAAGCGGACCCGCGGACCCGAGAATCTCTGCGTTCACTACACGCAATGTCCGCATTCGGAAGCGAGAAAGAACACGATATGGGCGTTCAAGGACATCCGCGGAGGAATTCCGTGCTATGGCTTCGACTTCCTTGCGACTTTCGCGCTATTCCTCGAGTGCAGTCTGTGGCTACGTTGCTCGCTATTGGTTGGTGTGTCCTCCATCATTATTCGCCGACCTGACAGGTATGTCTCTCATCCTAGGGCACCAATAGTTGCGCCTTCTGTGGCAAAACCCTGTTCGCCAATGCGGCCCTCGGCGACGTACAGTCCCCTAACACGCATTCTTTCCATCATTCTCCAGTGCAGACCTGAAATCTCCGTTTCGGGTGCGCACTCACCAAATAAAAAGGCCACCTTTTCGTCCTCCATCCACACCTCCTCGCTGAGGCTCCCCTTCCGACTACAGTCTCTCTTTTACTTACACCAACGCTCCTGTCCTTTCCTAATTCAACTGCGATGAAGCTCGCTACCACACTCGTTCCTCTCCTCTCTGCGACCGCGTGTCTTGCGGCCGCCACACGCACCTCGCCCTCGCCCAGAGCCCACCGCCGCGATGTCATCGCCGCCCGCCAGGCGCACGTCCGGCGCAACTTCCTCGACGTCTGCGCAGGCCTCAACACCGACCTCACCGTGCTCGGGTTCGTCACGGGCCACCTCGACACCTGCCTCTGCCTCTCGCTCTTGCCCGGCTTTCTCCAGGTCGATGCTACCGCCAAGGCAGCCGTCGTCCTCGCCGGTGTGGACGTGGTGACTGCCCAGCTTGAGGCCCTAGTGAGTTTTCCCCTTCTCTTCCTTGACGTGTTGGATTCGTCACTTGCGCGCCTGCGCTGACCAACAACCCACGCATGCAGATCAATGATGCTGGGAACAGCGAGTCGTGCAGCTATCCCCCGCACGCGAGCCCCGTATGCAGCTCGGACAACGTCTGCGGCTTCACCTGCACAGACGGCTACACGCCCTGGACGCCCCCCGGTGCGTCGCGCCCCACCGAGTGCGTGTGCGATACGCCTGCGCTCGAATGCAATGGCGTGTGTGGCGTGTTCAAAAACGGCTGCGGCTCGGCCGTGCCCGCGCCTCCGCGCCGGCGCGCCGATCCTCCCCTCTGCAAAGATGGCCGCAAGGTATGCGGGGTTTCCGGCGGGAGCAAGAGTCGCGGCTATGAGTGCGTAGACACGACGTCGAGGCCTGACTCCTGTAAGGTTCCCTGTGTCACTCGAGGTTGAACATGCGCTGACATCTCGCGCTGCTACAGGTGGTGGCTGCGTGGTCTCCTCGCTCTTCACCTCTAACGAGCCCGCCACCGGCGTAGACTGCACTGTCATTAAAAACGCGATCAACCCCACCTGCGAGCAGGGCCGCTGCGTCATCACCGCCTGTGCCTCAGATTACAGACCCTCGCCCGAGGGCGACGCTTGCGTTGCGGTCACCATTCCCATTTCCAAGCGCGACGTTCCGGGGATCGACGTCCAGGACGGCGTGGTCGCCAAACTCAAACCCGTTGTCGTCCTCGCTGAGGATAGCGTCGTTCACGCAGGCCTCGGGCGGGACCTTGGCCATGTGGCGGGAGCTGCCGTGGACGCAACCGGTGAGGTCGTTGCGGCAATTGTAAAGGACACATCCGTCGCGGTCGGAGCCTCTGTCGGAGTGAAAGTACGTGACGTTACCGGCGACGGCGCGGATGCTGCAGGAGGCGCTGGAGGCGCTGGAGGCGCCGTAGTCAATGCCATCCCCCCTACGGCGGGAGCTGTCACGGGCGCAGCCGGTGGAGTTGTCGAGGGGATTGCACAGGACACATCCGTCGCGGTCGGAGCCTCTGTTGGAGCGGCAGTGCGTTGATATGTTTCCACAACAAGTATGATAGATTACACCGTTACTAACGTTTGGGTCTGTTGTCGATTGTTTCTCCGGGCGTCCTCTCATTCTCATGTGTTGTTTGCCGGTTCGATCCCATGGTGTTCTATATTTGCAGTTCTCGCGTGAACTATTTTACTTCGGTAACATTGATGGCTAACAACATATTCCTAGTCATCTCTGCGGTAGATAATGATATGGTGTTTGAACTCGAGGCTTGGTGCAAATGGCGACATCTTGGCAGCGAACGAAATAACGTTATGCCCATCCTCACAGATCAATTGCTCCCGCCGGCCGCGAAATACCACAGCCACAGCAACCACAGGGTATCAGCAACGAAAATCTTCGCGAAACGGTGGCACATGGATAACTTCTGATATAGAACGTTCGGACTTGTACCTATCTTCAAACATAATCTCATGGCTATATGGTCCGTTCCACAGCCGTGATGAACATACTTAAGTACCATGATTACAAAGAGGGTTTTCATAATCAAATATATGTTCTTATATATGCCTAGTATATCGTTATACGTGACATATCATCTTGCGTTACATCATTGTACATCCAAAAGTGGTACGTGCCACCTCTGCGGAGTGGAGGACTCAGTAGAGCACATACTAATTGACTGCACCGTCCGCACGGCACCCGGACAACACGAAGTGTGGCACCTCAGAGCTTCGAAAACATCCCAACTGGCCGCACCTGATCCTGGGCAGCATCCTAGGCTGTGGTCTGATCCAGTTTACCACAGAATCGCAGAAGCCTCGACCTAGACCGAGGGCAACCCGGATTTACCACACATCGTTTTCTGACACCGCATACATGATCTGGAAACTCCGTTGCGAGCGCGTTAACATACGCCGACCACTTCGCCACACAGACCGAGAAATGTTTTCAGGTGGTCTTTCACCATTTAGAGCAGATTAGCTCTAGAGAAGACCCTCACCAGCGACCGCGACTGACGCCACGCTCCGAGTAAGCCACTCGTGCTGGAGACCCGTAGTGCGGTCCTCAAGGTCGAAGGCTGGGTCTGAAGAAATTGTGCAGTTTCAGTGGCTAATACACCGCTAGAGCGCTCCAGACGACGGCGTAGGAAAATCGATTGGCGAGTCTCAGACTAGCTCTGACGAGCCGTGCATAATGCATTTTGCCTCGGAAAGGTCGCGGACGCAAACCCCGCCACCCAGCGCAGACTTACGTGGGCCACCTTTGGACGCTGTGCGTGATGTCAGACACCAGCAATCCTTAGACATCAGTGTCTCTAGAGGGCAGACAGCACCGTCCTTGTTGTAGTGAGTTGTGGAAAACGTATGATCTGGAGGCTATGGGCAGGGCAATGGAGAAGAGCTTCTTCAAGATCACTTGGGCAAACCACACTGATGATCTGCGGCCTGAGAAAAAGTTCATATAATTGAAACCACAGGCCGGGAAATTGTGCCAGCTGGAAGTCCTCCTATTCATCCCGAGCTATGTTGACCTGTGCTAGGGTAACGACTTGCACTGTGCACTGCAATTGTCACAGCCCATATTCGTAGGGCGGGGGAAGGACCTTGCTCTGCTCATTATGCGCAAAGACAGCCTCCAGCAGGACCATCGTGTCTGTTGAGGTAGGCGTCAGCACATGCTGCTGGCGCCGGCAACGAACTCAGAGTGCGAGGTGCACGGTGGAAATGACGCACATAATTGGATGGCCATGACAGTGGCAAGGAAGCCCGCGACCATGACGACGACGCTTGGCGGCGCGCCGTCGACGAGCAGCCGGCAGTCTCGTCCAAGCCCGCCGTCCACGAAGGAGATGCAGTCGACCTCAGCCGTGACCGTGGTGTAGAGCGCGACGACGGCAGTGACGACCGCAAAGATGCGCGCGGCGGGCGTGGTGCGGTGGCAGGCCCTCAACATACGCTGGTCGCGCGCTCGAGCCGCGAGGGCGCTGCGGGCTGGTCAGCCCAGGCGGACTGTGTATGTAAGCGGTAGGACGCACATGCGGAGGAAGGACATCGCAGAGAACCCGAGCATGAGCGCGGACGCTCCCAGGCTGGCCTGTGTGCGGGCGGAGGCGAAGGCGTTGCCGTCAATGGTCTCTAGTGGGAAGGGTGTTTTATTTTCAGCGGGACGGCGCTGACAAGATGGTGAAAAATTACGCACGGTACAGAAACCGCGAGTAGATGCCTGCGAGGAGTAGGTGCGACGAGAAAGAGAGCAGCGAGAGAGCGGGTAGGCCTGAGCGGATATAGTCGTGCATATTCTCTGCTACGTGGGAGATGTTGCGCGGAGGTGGGAGTGTTGAAGAAAGGCACGCTGCGTGACAAATGAGGGGAGATGGCCAGGGAGCCATGCGTAGTCAACCCTATTTAATTTGTTTCCTACATTTCTGTTGAAACAAAATCCTTAAGGAGGATGCAAGACGCCGCCTTGAGACATGCGGAGGCCGGCATACGTCTGATACAGATTGGCACCCGGACCTGCAGTAATACGTGAACAATTGTGAGGCTAGCATGCGCTCGCGCAATATTCCGAGCTCGAATCATTCGGCGACACCTACGGTGTTCGCGCGATGCGGATCACAGTATCTCTCAGCCGCCGGTCAACTTCGTACGGCGACAGGCTGACCGTTTGGGAACATTGGAAGCGTGGCAAAGGCAGAGTCAAGCGCTCTGTCTGCTTTGGCGCGGCCGCATTTCAAGAAATGATAGGTATATGTCGCATCTGTAGAGATTAGCATTGTCCGCAGTGCGCCCGGCACGCACGCAGTGATGATAGAGTCATTACCGTTGCTGAGCTTTGCTTGGATATTATCTGAACCATATATTCAAGCAGCACCCACATGTCGTGAAGGAGCAGCATATCGCATCCCAGCTTAGTACCGCGAGAGAACACGAATTTAATTGCTCTGGACGACCGCTATAGCAGGGCGAAAAATATGCAGGCCAGTAGAGAAGATCAGCGTGAACTGCGTCGGTCCGACGATATCGGCGCTGGGTACCGCAGGCAGGCCATCTCGCCGGCCATCAATTGCATTCATCAGTCGTTAGGATTGTATTGGGGTGCCGCGGGTGCTGTTAAGGAAGTGAAGCGCGTATACTCCCTTCATCGTACCCTCAATTGTAGAGCGCTGCCTTTTTCGTGAGAAGGTCCCGCTTATCGGAATATGACATCGCGGTCCGCTGACAGACGCTGTGATGCGACTACGGGCAAGGGTAGCGCTTTGAACAACGCAGGACCCTGACCTGCCCGTCCGGCCTTTAACAATGATGTCTGCCGTAAATGGGCTGGGCAGACCCAAATCTTAGCTGGGATGACCGAGCCTTCAATGGCATGGGCACCGCAGTACCGTGACTATCGATGCAATCGAGGGCGAATGTCGCTGAAAGGGCCAACCCACGGGGACCTCCACGGGTAGTGTCAAAGAGCCGCCACGAGATCTCGGTTCAGCGCCTCCAGTGTCGACCTTATTGACTTGTCACTTTGATTGACGCATGTTGCACAGTCGTCTCATACAGGAAGAAGCTGTTAAACCTAACGCGGGGTGAGCGCGCTGTACAAGACAACGAATATATTGACTTCAGTAGGCCGTAAGGGATGAACTCATATAAGTATGCACCTGTACAAGACAACGAATATATCTACGATGTGGTGCATTAGTATAATAATATTGTCGATGTGTTTAGAGGTACTCACTGACTTCAGTAGGCCGTAAGGGACGAACTGAAGTCAGTCTACGCGCGAGAGCGAGAGTCCTACAGTACGAAAAGAGGGGACTGTATAGTAAGCCAAACAATGTCCAAACAATGTCCGGGCTGCGCCACAGGCGCATCACCGCCAGACGTCTCGTACGAACGAGCGTCTGTGTGGAGGGCTTCTCGAACATTCTCCCGAGTCGCCTGCGCCAGAGCTTGCGCTCTAACAGAAGCGGCTACAGATTTTTCCTGTGAGGTTAAGCGATCTAACCTGGTCGCCTATGGCACATTGACTGAGCAGCAGCGAGAACTGCCCGCATTGTCGGGTGACTACATGTTCAGCGAGATTACAGCGAGATTACGGCATTGAAATAGGACTTCCACCTGAAAACGTGGGGAGTCCGTCACGTGTTTACGCAGAAAGAAGATCCAGAGTACGTACTAGGCGTAAAAATGAGTGGTGTACCGTGACAGTATGGCCCGTCAGATTGGTGGATGCCTTCTCGCAGGGGGTCCGGACGAGATTGCAGAGTAGAATCGAGCTCTAGATCTTGTCGGCAATGAGGCTTTGGTAACCTGATGGAATCGGCTGGTAACGGCTGGCTTCCGGGCACCTTTCTTCTGCCAAACGGCACGGAGCGACTTAACGGGTCTGTTTCAAATTCCTGTTCGCATTGCAAACCGTCCAGATCCTGCGGGAAGGCATCCAGCACCTCTGGTCACGTACTTACCCACCATGTCCGCATCCCGGTTCGAGCGCGTCCTTCCCTAAGCGCCCAAATGCAGCGGGGACAAGATGGTACCTGGAAAATGTTATCTGGGCTAAATGTGGTACTCACGCCAGTCGCCCCGGTCGTTCCCACCACTGGGGCGATTAATCCTCGACTGCCATTCAGTCGAAAAGTCGGGACGACATTTTCACGAGTTGCGCAGACAAGGCCCGTATATCCACGTGCGCAATGATAGTATGCAGGTGCTCAAAGAGGTATCCGATTACGACACGGACGAGGGGCTAGTATGGGCCGCAATGATTGAGGTAGAGGCTCGAAGAGGATTGCAGGAAGTACCCCAGTTGTGTGAGCTTCTCGACTTCTCATCTTCCATCTTCGATGTGGAGGGTGGTGTTGACTTAGTGCTGAGTCTCTGTCAACAGAATAGACATGTATTCTCATTTCACAAAACCTGCTAATGCCAAATTCTATCGTATGTGCTATTATTTTGCGGCCAAATGCGCCTTACTAGCGTCCGCATGTAGGCTTCTGGTGCTGTAGAGGCGATGCGGATATAGGAGGAGTTAGTGGGAGGGGATCGGGATGCGCCTATAAAGCTGCTCGGGATGCGGCCACGGGGGGTAAGTAAGTACGAGACCAGAGGTAGTTGATGCCGTGACGCATCAGATCGCAGGCTCCGAGGCGTACCAGACCCTTGTGGTCGCCCTTCTCGCATATACTAGATATGGCTCGACTGTCATCCATGTCCGTAAATGGTTAGCAACGCAACCTACCCTTCCCGGGTGTAATACCCCACAACGGATTTCCTATCCGGGCAGGCGCTAAGAATGGCACCCCGCCACTTTGGAAACGCTACATGACGTCACCTGCGTCATGTCCCCACACCTCGAAAGGCTTTATAGCCCAACATACATGGCTGGTGTCGAACATTGCCTTTTCACCGATACCCCACGATCAATACCTCGCAGCATACAGCCAAAATCTACAGCTTTATTCTTATTTCGCGACCACGATGTCACCATCCGTAAACTCCCCCGCACCAGCGGCAAGCGGCGCGCAGGGCAACGACACCTACCCCGAGCAGCGACACGCAGGTGCCACGGGCCTCGGGCCTGAGTATGGAAAGGGCGTGGTGCGTGTCGACTAGAGCTGCATTTGGCGCATATAGCGACCCTAACGCGGTTCTGCCACCCAGACGACCGGCGACAAGTACGAGGGGCTGAAGGAGGAAGCGAAGGGCAAGATCCTGCGCAAGCCCGAGCTCGCGGAGCACGGCCGCAAGCTGCGCACGGGCGAGCTCAAGGGCATGCAGGAGGCGGAGAACAACACGGTGCGTCTGGACTCTCCTTGTGTTGCGCCGTCGCGCAGCCCGCTTATGCGCCATGACTCGATAGAATCCGTCTAACACGGCGGCGGAAACCGACAAGCAGCGTGCGCAGGGCCAGGCGCCAAAGAGTGACGAGAACCAGTTCACTGCGCAGCCGCCAGGCGTACCCGACACATCTCACCCGACCGAGGCTGGCCGTATGCGCCAGGCGGCGACTGTCGCACCTGAGGGCACGAGTGCAGCGACCAAGGAGTCCCAGGGCGAGCATCGCACCCGCAGCATCGGCTGAGCGTGGAGCATCCAAGCAAGTATCAGCGGGGTGCAACATTGGAATCGGGAGAGAGGAAGACGGCGTATTATGCCGTGTTGACGTCGACAACTTTAATTTGATGTATATGATAGAAATGTGCGTGCACCTTTTCAATTTCATTGTGGGCGCAGTCAAATTCGATCGATCGGATTCCCAGACGGCGTTGTAGGCCGATGTGGGCAGGCAAAGCATTGGGTGCTTCTAATCGGGGCGATGGAAGAAAGGCTGTACTGTGTGCACAGCCTCAGATACTGACTTTCGCAGTATTAGTCCCTACAACAGCAAGGTTGTCCGTCAGAATGTCCGGCGTTCAGCCGCAATGTCAAGTGAGGATATCGACATATCGCCCTATCGCTGCGCTTCGAAAACCTCATTAGTCGTTATAATCATCGTGTCCGTTCATTCTTGCGCAGGCCTGCACAGCCCGGGTGGTTGTGCCGCAGTGGGAAGCCTCTGTCATTCGTGACAGCGAGGCAAAAGTCAACCGCGCCCGCAGTGCAGATGTTCCATTTCGACATCGCCCCGCTCGTCATCGCCCTCATCGAAGCTCAATGCGCGTTGTCGGCTGCTTGGCCAGGAACAGCGGAGGAGACCCAGGAAAGGTAAAAATATCTCGTGCCGGTGTGTGCTGTGATGGGCGCCCGTTGTCTCGGGAGATCTGGCGCTAGCGCGGCGTGCGCATCAAAATGCGCCCGCGGCTCCCACGCGAGGAGTCACGCCAAGGGCGCGTCGGCGAGCGGCAGAGTGCGTCAGACGTCTTGGCGACTGGCGACAACACCACAGCTGGACATCCACACCAGCCTCATGGTGCAAGTCGAACGCCCACATAGGTACTGTATCCTGGGTGGTGGATCTGGCGGTGGCTGGGCAGATATTGACTCAGGGGCACCTGTGGTCTTGTTGCACTGCTTTACGGCGGACGCCCGAACCTTCCCGGCAAAAGCGACGAGAGCGCGCAGCTTTTCACGCTTGCAGCACCGCTCCCGTCATGCCCGAATTGTCTCACATCATCGCCATCATCGCCAACACGAAATGATCACACAACGCAGCGTGCCCTATAAATGCTGCGCCAGCGCGCGCCTCGCTGCAACGTCCTCTTCCCTTCCACGCCTTCTCCTTCCAGCCCCCGTCGGGTCTCCCTTTTTCTGTCCCGTTTCCCATTCCCATTCCAGCTTCACGTTGCGCGACACGAGCCCCGACCCTCTAAGTTAACAGACCCGCCTTTTTTGCGAGTTCGCCGACCGACGCCTTCCCTTATTCCTGCACGTGCGCATACCCAGCGAGCATCATGTCCCGGCATTTCTGCTTCTGCATTCCCGTCCGCGCGGGTGTCTTCCTCTTCTCCCTGCTCTCCACCATCCTCGAGGGTCTCCTCGCCGCCGTTCTCTGGTACATCGTGCATGGTGCGTGTCACGCATCGCTCAGGTGACCAGACCAGCCCGGCTGACAGCGAGTCTTCTGCACAGAAATCGACATCAAGGCGGAGAACTACACGAATGTCGCAGAGCACACCAAGATCACTGTGATCGTGCTAGCTGCGATCTTCACCATCATGGCGCTGTTCTCGCTGTTCGGGTGCGTCTCTGTGTGTGCGCGACAGGGTGTGGCTGGCGCTGACGTCGAGCATGTGTTTGTGCAGCTTCATTGGCGCAGTCGGAGCAAAACGGCGCCTCGTGAAGGCGTTCGCGTTCATGAGTTGGCTGCTGTTCTTTGCGTCGATGGGCGCGTCAGGCCTGACGCTCTACGCGATCTTCTCGGGGAAGAACATCACGAGCGACTGCATCCAGGTCGATAACAAGGGAAACGTCTCGCTCGATTCGTGCACAACGCACGTCTCGACTGGCGTCAAGGTCGCCGCGACGATCATCGTCGTCCTCATCATGATCGTCCACCTATGTGCGTGACCCCTCTCGGTGTTCTATATATATATAGTCGAGAGAACCGGAGGCTGATCTGTGGATTTGCGCAACGCAGACATGGTGGTGATCATCCAGCGCTACGTCGAGCAGCTCGAGGAGGACGGCGCCGCGTGGCAAGGCCCGTACAAGCTCACGACGACGGACACGAACCAGGGCCTGCTCAACCCCCAGGGCCCGTACTCATATGCGGAGCCGCACAACGCGTACGGCAACTCATACGCATGAGTCTGGACCCCGACCCCGACCCCGCTTGTGTTTATGTCTCGCGCTGCCGGATGGGAAGCCAAAACGAGAGGAGGTGGATGGCGCGCGCCGCCCGTGTGTGCGGGGCGTGCGTGCATGGATGCTGTCGTGCTGTTTTTGCTGCTGTTTGACTTTTATATCTATTAACCCACTCACGACATATTAGTGCTCATTGTATTCTTGCATATTCCAATGGACTTTGCTGTGTGTTCCTTTATTCAAGTCAGTGGCATGGAAAGAATTGCGTGACAGCTGGGCACCTCTCAGCGGTGGGTGCATCTGCTAACACCAAAACGACCCCAACCTCTGGCGGCGCGTCGCCTGCTCGAGTTCTCTGTCTGCAGCCCAGGTACAGCCGATGCAGACTCTGGGCATTGATAAGCGTGTCCAGATGTTTGTAACCAGACATCGTCATCGACGCTTAGGATAAGGACTGGGAAATTACAGTGTGTATTGGCAATGGCCGTCGTTGACAGTGATAATCATGCCTGTCACCATCAAGTCTGAGTGTAGGCTGTGTTTTGTAGATAAGAGCGCTGAACTCAACGGGGTTGTTCTATCCAGCACAGAGAAAGGGTCCCTGTTGTAAGATCGCGCCGCTGGGGAAATGAGGAGCAAGGAGAATTGTCTCGATCACGTTTTGCTACAGATGCCACTGTTTTATGGACAAGGCTCAGCTGCGGCATCAATCATCAATGCATCTATTGGCCTACGGCGCCTCCCTCCGACCGAGCTGCCCTGACAGATGCCGCCACGCCCGTCTCGACACACTCTTATACGGCCCGTGTCACAGCCAGAACGACTGTTGGCATTTATAAGACGAGCATCGGTGTCCGCCCTCTCTCCTCGCTTCTCGTCCTCCAGCCCCTCCGCCAACCGCGGAACTTCTAACTTATTGGAAATGTCACGGCACTTCCGCGTTTACATCCCCATTCGTCTGGGCCTCCTCGTGCTCCCACTATGTTCGCTCGCGCTGCTCAGCTTCCTCGCATATGTGTTCTGGGCTACGGTGCAAGGTGCGTGTATCTGTGGACCAGCCACCATGACCTCCCCCCGCGATTCTGAGGCACACTTGATGGCCAGGCTTCCCGGATAGCACCTACACGCACACTACGAAGATCGCCATCTCAGCATCAGCGGTCTTGGTCACCACGCTCGCGCCGTTTTCCCTAATAGCGTAAGCCCATGCCCAAGGTCGGCTTCATGCAGGATCAACCTGACGCTCAACCACCCGATGATGCAGGATCCTCGCCGCCGCCACACGCAGCCTGCACATCACGCGCACGTACTGGTACATGTCCTGGCCCCTGGCCCTCTTCGCCCTTGCCACTACCCCCGTCGTGATCAACATCGCCTGGGACGAGCAGACCTGCCCGCTCATGGAGACGGGCGGCGGCGTCCGCCCGGACTGTGCCTTGTTGCGCGACACGCTCCGCGGCGCGCCGTCCGTCATTGTCACGGCGCTCATGGGTACTGCCCTCGTTCTGCAAGTCTGTGCGTGTTCCCCCTCTTAACCCCGGTTGTGCACAGTGATGTTTTGTGGGGGCTAACACGCGCGGCGGCAGATATGATCGTGCTTTCGCGCCGGTACATCGAGCAGCTGGAGGAGAGCAGAGAGGGGAGGCGGGGGCAGTACATGCGCGTGTCGACGGAGGTCGGCAAGGACCTGTTCGATGCACACGAGCCATATCCGTATGCGGAACCGTACAGCGCCTTCAGGCACTCGGATGACACCGCATAGAAAGGTCGTCGGAGTGCATAGATGCCTCACTTCGGTACGCAGGTATTGAAGTTTGCTATTGGTGAGGCGCACGCGCGCAATCCTGGGGAATGGTTGTGAAGTTCGAGCTTGGAAGGAAGGAAAATACTATCCCGGATTGCGCACGAGCCAACCACCTGGTAATTTATGGTATTAGCATAGCCTATTACAATTGATAACATTCCTTTGCAAGAAATACATAATTGCGAGCGAAGCGAGCATATCTCGGCTAAAGGGGCTGAGGCCGGGCTTTCAGCTGGAGCAAACAAGTACAAAGGATACATGCAAGCGCCCGACGTGTTTTCACATTGAAAGGCCTGAAAGTCATGCAAACATCCTTCAAAATCCGTTATTAAGGCCTCAAAACACTCTCAAGCATACAGAAAATGGATATATGCAAAAAGAATGGCATCAAAAAAGAATTTATTGCGAAATAAGCATAACTACTCGAAAAACAGTTAGACGCCCAGTCACTGACGTGGCCCGCTGCCATACAACTTCGTCAAATGTTCTGAAACCTGAGTCCTTTCTTTTGGGATTCTTAGGTGCAACTAGATGTCCTATCAATACATTATCAATGGTAGTGCAACATAGGATTCAGCGCTTCGCGAGCCACTTCCCATACAACAGGTGCATATTTATAGATAATGCGGTTTACACCCCGATGTCAATGTGGAACCCTTGTCTTGCGCTGACATCTTCACAAAGTTATTGAGACAATCGCTACACGGCGTCCGACTCGGATGCTATGATGCGATCTCGTGGCCGTTCACAGGCGATACGACCTCGGAACAACTCCCATCGGATCGCAAGTTTAGCGGCATTGCGAAACGCCGGAATCTACACCTTTGGCAGTCCTTTTGTTAGAAAGTCGCCTCCCTCTGATTTTCTTGCATTCACAACGTGATTAAAAACGGCTTTCAAGGCCGAGGAGTAGTGGCCGATTTGGAGAGTAAGTGGAGTCAGAGACAGGCACGGTGCGTCCTTCCGGTCTGTTTCATCCCATGTATTGTTGATTCGTTCTGTGTTTAGTGCCATAATTCTGCGTTGCTTTGTCAAGGCAGTGACGGCCGTCTTGCAACATGTTGAGAACATCCGTTGTTGTCGTTTGGATCCATCTGATACTTACGGTTTCATGCGCTCGAGGTGTGTTCAGAGTCACACGCATCATACGTCCACTCTTCTATGTATTGCGAGCCATTAGCTCGTGAATGTGTACGCTGTGCATGGACGCTCATTGCTGGAACTCGGGAGTGGTTGTTTGTCACGTATGGACTTGGCGGATCATCGTACACCACGGATGCAGAGCGTGATAAAACGGTTCTATCACCAACCTGACTCAGATGGGCCTATACCCCTCTTTCATCAGGCTGCGCCGCGCCTATCAATAGTGGACATGTAATTTCGGGCATCACGTCGATGGCCTCTACTCTGGTCTCATTCTCAGGACAGGGTATGCGGTGTATCAAACGATTGACATTATCCTTCAAAGACGCAGTCGCTCGCTACGGTGCGATTGCGTGTTTATCCCGGTGCCACGTCCCATCCCAGTCTCATCTTGGCGCATGCATGCTGACATGGCCTCGTGGAAGAGCTCATGCCGTTTTGTATTGTCTATTCGTGATGGGTTTCTCATCTGGAGGGTGCCCCCGAGCGCCATCCAGACGGCGTAACGGCCACAAGTTGTGGATGGGGACGGCTTACTCCGCAAGTCACAGCCCGCGGGGCTATCTCATGCCCCTATGGAACGATAACAAAGCACAACAAAGCACACACAGCGAGGTTTTCGCGACCTCTGTCCGACACGATACATCACAAAATGAACAAGCAACCGTATTATTCAAGCACAAAACCTCAGACATGAGAAAACTGACGACGGTACGTGATATACAAGTGGATACAGCACACTCACATCGATGGTCTCATACAAGGCCGAACTCGATTGATAACAACAGCAAACCGATAGCAGGAATACCAAACAAGCAAGCAACGGAGAGGATAGAGATCGGTGAGTACGAACATGCTCAAATCGTTTATCTATTGTAGTCTCCTGCAAGTGACCGATCACTTGCCTCCGCTCTTGCTCGCCTTTCACGACCGTCCTACGCGCAATTTGGCTTGTCGTCCATATGCCGCTTGACCGCGTCGCGCCTCGTGTATTTGCTCCCGCAGCGATGGCATGGGTACATGATGCCGTTTCATCCAAGGCATCGCTTGCTTGTATCTATATGCCGCAGGCAGTCGTGGTAGCGCTGAAACCTTCTCGAAGGGCAGTGTGGGCAAGCATAACGCCCGTCTGCGGTCTTCAGCGGCACAAGACTGGGGGCAGGCTTGGGGGCGGCCACTGTTCTCGCCTTGCCCTTGCTTGCGGTGGTGGTTGTAGCGCGCGCACGTTTCGGCGGGCGCGTGGAGTGGTTGGAGACGACGGGCAGTGCGTGTTCGATCCGCTTGCGCTTTCGAGTACTGCGCCGTACGGAATGTTCTGCGTGCACATTTGTCCCTTCGACTCGATGATCTGCTGCTCGCGGGGCCTGGTGCAGCGTTTGCGAGCCAGGATGGGGCTGATGCGCTGACCACTCTGAGGGAGGGGCGGCCGGAGGCAGTCCAGCTGAAGATGGGACTTTTCTCACAATGCTGTCGCTATCACAGCTAGCCTCACCATCATCAGCAGTACTCTGACCGTCGAGGTTGTCCTCATCCGCCTTGTCTTCGACTGAGGTGTCGTGGACGTAGACGACGTGTTTAGTTGACATTCTCTCCTGATCTACCTCGTGCAGATCAGGAGAAGCGACGCTAGATACGACTTGCGTATCTACATCTGATTGCAGAGCGTCAGTCGTGATATGACGACTTGCGATATCCAAAAATTCGCTGTCATTACTGTGGTCTCCGAGGAAGTCGCTGCGTTCCAGAAGCAAGTGATTCCGCATGTGTTCACTTAAAGCAACAGGAGACTTGTGGGAGCGTTGGCGAGATGTCATTACGACAGGCCCATTTGAAACAGGCTCTGACAAGATGTCGAAGGGAGATCGGAATTCCGGGAGTCCCTGGACATCACTGAGAAATATTTTGGTAGGATCTGACCAAGCAGAGAAAGGGGTGGCGATAGGCTACACAAATATACTGTTAATGAAACCTGATTTGCCCATAGGAGACAGACTTTGCACCTTGCGCCTGTCATTGATATCTCCCACCACCGCCAGGCGTTCATTTTGGCTCCTTATGCTCTCCAGATCGGTAGCGGCCTCAATGCCACTTGTGCTGGCAATGAATGCGCGTGAAGGTCCGGATGGGAATCAGGGTGAATTGGAAGCTGGGAAACATCAATGAGATCGGAGAGGTCGAGAGCGCAAGTCGTCATGTTGGTACAGCAGAGTAAAATGGGAGGTGACGGCGGAGGTTGAGCGAAGGCAGCGCTCTTGTTTAACTTTTAAATAGCTGTTGACGCGGAGATCGGCACCGAAACGCTCAAGGTGAGCTTCTCGTGGCTGGAACCGTGCTTCGAAAGCTGATGAGAGACAGCGAGCAGTCTGAATCTGGCAATTTGCCAAGCCTTCGTCTTCATTGTTCTGACTATGCAAAGTACAAGGGACTCCTATTGCCGGCCATTTGCTCTTACAGATTGTCGTCGTTTCACATGCAATGCTCCATAGCGCGATTCTGTATGGATCAAATGGTGACCTCGGTCTCCTCAGATGGCACATGGGTCTGAAGGCGTCGTATACATTTTCCTTCTACTGTACATAGTCGAGTTATAGTCAGCTCATGAGAAACCTTTCAGGTGCATTCTGAATCGAGCACTGCATGAACACTTATCCAGGTCATCTGAGCGCAATAGCGCGGTCGGTGCGTTGATGCAGGGCGTGAGAACTGAACGTTTCCCGCATTATCTTCAGAGGAAATGACATCATGAAGTGATTGGAATCGCATTGAAGACTTCACTGAGGAAATAAGTAGACGCTATCAAAGGAAGTTATTCTACAGAGTAGCGGTGATGATCTGGAATCTCAACATTTTTACAACTATGCCCTAAGCCAGAAATGAACTGCCTCTTATATAGGGTACCATCAGTTGAAAGTGCGATATGCTGTGCTGAACCTAGCCTACGGAGAGGACTTTGTAGGCCCCGAAGAGTGATGAGTGCATTCGAGTGTTCAGTAGAATCGTAATCTAGATTTCGGCCCTGGCGGCCCGCGCTCCAGCCGAGTTGCCACATCGTCACGCCTTGGCCCTGCGGCAATCGCAGAGCTGCATACTCTCTTCCGCACCAGTTTTGTTGATGGCTTACGAGCAGGGAAAGGTGATCGAGTGCGTGACACCGCCTTCATCTCGCAAAGGAAACGTGATCTCATTTCCGCGATGTCAAAACAACGAGTGTATTTGCTGTCAGGATATTGAATGCGTGCAAGTCTCCCATCTAGCATAGATTTCTACATGTAACCCTTGCATTCCCTCTACGCCATCCATGCTCCGACTGTTTTGCCTTGATAGTAAACCGATACTAGACGTCTGCTGGATCCGAGCATCAATTTGCATGCTCGTTCATATCAATGTCCTATTACCCACCTTTCCGTCCGTTGTACTTGTCCTGGTTCTCTCTGGCTGCCGTGTACAACACGGTCCAATCTTTGCATGTATGGGTGACCTCGTTTACAGTGACACCAATTCCATCGATCGCTCTGACGGACTCTAAGTGAGTGCTGGATCTGCACAGGACCATCTGGCGAAGATAGTTCACGCAGTGCTTGACAAGAAGACGATCTTGAGGAGTTTCCGCTTCTTGATGCGGCATGACCGCACGCCTCAGAAAATCGAGGCATCGAAGCTGGTGAAACATGGAAATGCTGAATGTTTTGGAGTTCTCGCCTAGGTACAGCAATCCTTTCCCAGGTGGCAGTGTACTGTTCCATTCGGCGACGCCGGTTGGTGTGTCGACCGCATAGTGGACGGTGTGATCAAATGTCAGGAGCACGTCCTCAAGTGGTGGTACGTCCCATTTCCCCCAGTCCACGTATGCTGCTCAAAGGTGAGTTTTTGCCTGTTGGTGCCCACTACAAGCTTACTGTTGCTTTCACGCAGTGTTCGGGTCTGGTACCATTTGTATAGAGTGCCAATTGAAGCAATGACGCTGAGAATAATGAAGGCCGCGATCATAAAGTGGTTGTAAAGCATAGCGAGGCCACCTATCGCTCTTGTGTTCTCGTAAGACTTGCACTCGTCGCTATTCATAGACCTCTCGTCAGCGCTACCACTCAGGCGCGCGTGAAATCGCTCATGTCAGAACACACAGCTCCCGAACTGATGACTGCGCATATGCATCCATTGATCAGATGCATATCATCGCATGTTCCCAATGATAGACTGAATTTCAAATGTTGCCATCTCGCTATCATGATTTCTCAAGACATGTCTCCGAACGTCGGGTCCGAATGAGCACTGATATATCAGCTTCGGTGACAGGTACAGCGAGTCCAAATTCTCTCCTCGCACAAGAAGTGCAAACGTCTACCACATGATACCCCTACATGTGAGATAAATGTGTCGTGCCTATCCCGAGATCACGTAGACATGGTCACCAGAATGAGAGCCATGAGGCAGATCGGCGCTAGATGGTCCCCTTTTGAATACGATGGCACTTGTGGGGACAGAAACGGGCATTTCCGTCGAGTTCTCCGAATCGGCTGTCGGCTGTTCTGTGGCAAAATGGATTGTTGACTGGGGACCAATTCTCGCGATGGTGGCCCCAGACCATGCGCGGCCTCTGAAAACATGGGCCGTGATAAGTTCCGGTGCAATACACTGCAGAAGGATTCAATACTGATCGTAGAAGTGTTGTGCTGGAAACTTGCCTCTACTTGCACTAGTGGGCCAAGGAACAAGCTTTGTGCGGGGTTTTGTAGCCCATACAAAATGATATAGACTGCGCTGATGATACCGTACGGAAGCGCAGACTCTACCAGCATTGCCGCGATGCTTGTATACACTCCGCCATGTTCCTTGCCCATTGCCTTGATAAGTTTGCGGCGCAGCCAGAAGAGACGAGACACGAGAAGGAGGGTGAGAAGCATGCTGAGTGACATGGAGGTGGCCCAGTATGCGAGATCAATTTTATAAGCAGGTCCTGTCCACAGACTCCCGTCCGGCAAAGCGAGCTGCACGACGACTAATACGGAAAGGACTGATGTTATAGGTCAGTACTGCAACTCTTCGCTATACCGAGCGCTTTAAGGGCATACCTGTTGACGCCACGTACATGAGGCAAGGAACTACCATGACAAAAACATTGCGCTCCCACACAACGAAGGTGCGGATAAGCTACAATAATCTGAATGACGGAGCTCATAAGTAGGTTTAGACTGGCTCACGAGTAGACTATCTGCCATGAAGGCTGCTATGATAGCAGCAGAGTTTGCCCATGTATCAATATGCCTTGCTTTTGCCGACTCAGAGAATGCGACCGGACCGCCTGGTGTATTCACAGAGAAGATGAAGAATTCATCGTTAGTGCGGAAGTTGGATGCGAGATTGATTGTGCCCATCGCGAACAGGATCACGACGAAGCACACCGGCCACCAAGACGTTTGCTTTTCTCTTGTTTCTCTTGTAAAGAAATAATAGTAGAGGCATGCACCGAAGACGCAAGCATGAATACCTGCAGTCATCAAAGCTCAATATTAATGTCACTACGCTCAGCGCTGGTGATGGCAGCTTACCATAGAATATGGCATTGAGATATACTCCGTCTTGGATTGCTTGCTCCCTCCACAGGACCGCTTGTGGCCCCGTCTCGCTCGCAAGATTGTTCAGGTACAAAGGTTGCATACTGAAGACTTCCAGTAGCGATAGGAGGGGGAGTCTTCTAAGGACATTATCATGAGATAGTCAAGTAGCTCATGTTTTGCAAATTTCATGACGGGCTTCGATGATGCGCCGAACATGTGGAGGCCGGTATGACCGGCGATGTACTTCAATACTATCGTATTCCCGCGCCGTAAAAGGATATTAGGAAATCGAACCTGATGACTGATGGAAATCACTGAGCCGGATCTAAGGAGAATTTGTATAGAGAACCCGGAGCACGAAGGGATGTAATGTATTTGCCTAATCAGGTCACCTCAGAAAGTCGTCTTGTGAAAACGATGTCGGAAAACCCGACGGCAGACAACGTCCTCGAGGGACTGGGATCAAAGGGTGATTAGGTTCCAAACCGATGGGGCTATTTACAGCGCGCGGCACTAAATATGTACGATCCCGGTGCTAGCGCACTGACCACGTGACTCAGGCCGGCAGCAACCGTACTTGCCCGATGCATGTACCCAAAAGTCAGCACAGCCAGTATACCTATCTCATCCTTCATAGGCCATGTGGACCGAGCTAAGCTCTTGCTATGCAGCCCGCAGAATTTGCGCCGATGCGGTCACAGAAGGATTCAGTTATCTGTCAATGTCATCCGAGGATCTCATGACACCTGATGGGTATCTGTGCTCCTCCAACACCGCCCATCGCGGGCGTACTGTGCGCTTCTATCATTGCAATGAGATTGGAATCCGTCAGCCGTGATTTCGAAGCTTGTCCGTGCGCTACCGCTTTGATGTAATCTTCCATAGGGATAGACTGTGCGATAGACTACACTGCGTATAAATAACAGCAGAACACGTTAGCTCGCTCTTCCTCAACCGCGATTCAACAGCAGAATGCAGCCAACTCTCTCAGTTCGCTTTGCCATCGTACTTCTCGCAGTCCTCGCGTCCTCAATGGCGTCTCCTACACCGGAAGGTATGTGTTATGCATCTTACACGATGCCTCCGCTTATGCCCCCCCAAAACAAAATCGCAACAGATTCCCTCGCGGCTAGCGCTGAAGCGGAGCCCACTTTAGCAGAAGATTGGGGTTTGTGAAAATATCTGAAAACGATCCAAAACCTTTCATGGTCAGTCTTAGTCTTGTTGCGCTCTATTTGATGTATGCTGACAGCGGCCGTGATGGAACAGCCATCCTCCTTTTAATCTCGAATTTCGAATATGTAATTGTATATGACAGACAAGGCTGAATGAGGAGCTACATTGACGGGACCGCTGTACGCAAGGCGCTCTATAGCTGCGAGACCTGACTAAGAACGTCAACATATCACGAGAAGAGACTGTCACTTACTCGTGTAGTCGAGTTTAGCCATTCCGCGTAGTTATCATGCATCGCAGAGTATACAGCAGTCCAGTCTCGACAAACACGCGTTTCTCCAATGTGCTCGGTTGAGAAGTCGCGCGCCATGAAGTCTCCGCTCTCAAGGGTGATGTCCGCTGAGCACAGCGCCATGAGGCGAAGATAATTGAGGCAATGCGTGACGTGGTCCATGGACGCCCGAGAAGAACCGCCGATAGCGAGATTCAGAACACGAAGGCAATGCATTTCGTGGAACATGGTGACCACGAATCTCCGCTGGTCGGGGCCGAGACGAACATACCCCACTCCGGCGGAGGTAAGGGATAACCATTCGTCGTCGGATAGATCCCCAAGCAAGGGATAGTGTGCGCTCTCCTCGACCGTCAGCATAACGAGGCCAGGATCAACCAGCGCCGGTGGTATAGTCAAGGGGAAGTCGTGAGCATGGTATGCTGTAGGGCAGTCGTAAGTGATTGCACAATGCACGCCCATGACCGCATACGTACTGTAGGGCTGAGCGGTCTGAGAGGCAACCAGCGTACGACCGCCTATAACAGCTCGAGTGACATATGCGAGGTTTGCTGTGGCGATCATACAAGCAGCCACTGCTACGGCAATTTGGATGTGCTGTTTCATGTCGCCAGAGATGACCATGAGGACATAGGGATGGTGGTGCAGACGGATGATACGGTGGGCGACGGTTGGTGAAAGCAACGCCGAGGATATGATCAGATCGAGTATGCGCCGTGATACATTGAAAACAATCAGAGTCGGAGAAAGCAGCATGAGTAACGGCCTTGTCTGTACATAGCAAGAATGCAGCAGCAAGTCCGGAGCGCTGCATGTCATGTATCAAGAGAAGCATGTTTGAACGCCGCTCACTCAATCAAGGTTCGATATCATTTGATTGATGGCACAGAGTTTGGTTCAAGATCGATGCTCGTAGGCAGTGCGATTTCCCAGGCCGGCGATGATGACATGCCGTAAAACCAAGATAACTACCTCGCTGTCTGAGCGGACTACAACGCACGGTTGTGACTGACCTAGCCCCACCGACTGCGTGAGCTGACGCGTCCCTATTTTCTGTTAGACAAGATATATGACATATTAGCCCACCAGAGCCCGCTTACGAAGAGGACCTATGTCTGCATCAGCACTCAAGTCGTCAGAAGGAACGCTACCATTCATAGTGGATGGCGAGACTCACCAGACGTGGTACAAGGTGGTCGGCGACCTCCAGAATCGCACCCGTCCTCCGCTCGTCGTCCTGCACGGGGGCCCAGGCCTCAGCCACGATTACCTCGCGCCCATTGGAGACCTCGCCACAACTGCATCTACCCCCGTCATCTTCTACGACCAGATCGGTATCGGGCGGTCCTCACACCTCCCGGAGAAGCCAAATTCATTCTGGACAATTGACCTTTTCCTCGACGAGCTTACCAGTCTCGTTGAGGCACTGGGCATCCAGGATGCTTTCGAGCTGCTCGGGCACTCGTGGGGCGGGCATCTCGCCGTCGAGTTTGCCATCAGGAGGCAGCATCCAGGCCTTCGTCACTTAATTCTGAGTAATACACATGCGTCACAGGCTCTGCATGGAGAGAACATGCAGCGGTTATTGGAGCCGTTTTCTCTGGAAGACAAGCAGGCTCTTCAGGTGGGCCCCGACGACCCGCACTTCATAGTTGCTATGAAACACATACTGGAGCGTCACGGGTGCTTGGTGCAGCCCATTCCCAAGGAGGTTGAGTACTCGATGGAGCTGGGCATCCCGGGAAAGGGTGACACTACTGTCTACAACGCAATGTGAGCCGCCTAAAGGTTTACGGTCGTTTTACCTATCACTGAATTGATTTCATTGAATAGGTATACAGGCGAGTACAAGACCTGGGACGTCAGAGACAAATTGCACCAAGTACTCGTTCCGACATTGGTCATTAATGGACGCGCAGACTACATGCAAGACATAGTCTGCGCGCCGTTCTTCGAGCGAATTCCTAAAGTGAAATGGATTACGCTTGAGAAATCGAGTCACATGCCTTTCTGGGAGGAGAGGGAGAGATATATGGAGATCGTTGATCATTTCTTGCGCCTTTAATGTAGACGTCGTGGCGAATAGATACAAAAGCAAACGCTTTCTAGCGCCAAACTGTCTTGATAAATGTGCAATGTCAGCGAATCATGGGCTGACGTCTGTACTCAAGCACGGGATAACCTATGCGCGACAATCATCAGTACGCCAACAGTGTGAAATATGAGCACGGTCACTCACGGACAAATAAATATTCAAAGTATGTGCTACGCACGACACATAACGTTACAATATATGATGATATCCTCCCTTTGCTTCAGAAAAATCGTCCTCGTCTTCCCACTCGAGATACCTCTCCTCCAAAAACTCTCGCACCTGAACCCAATCATGGCAATCGTGCGTCCTGCTCATGTTGGAAATCTCCCGCAAATACCTCCCATCGTCTAGCAGCTTCAGATGTGCCGGTTCGAGCGTAAGGTCAGAATGGCAGAGGATCGCCTGGCGCAAGTATGACAAGCAATGGTCCGCATGGTGCGCCCGTTCGTCGGTGGTGTTGGACTTTGCCGTGATCATCCGGCGAATCACGTCGAGACAGTGAAGCTGGTGGTACATGGAGACACCGTAGTATTCAAGTGTGTCTTCCGTGCGGTAGAATCCGTGTCCCTGAGGGATGAGCGACTCCCAGTCATCGTCGGAGTACACGTCGTAACGGGGCGTGCCGTGGAAGGTTAAGGCGGCGCGACGAATAGATATAGGCAATTTGACGAATAAGCTATCATAATCTAGCTTTGTTCCTACGTTATTCGTTTCAGTATGCAGTAGGCACGAGATGATGTTTGTTTGCTCACCGTCTAACGTGCGCCTTTCTGACAACTGTGAGACTATGCCCACGATGTTCATCGTCGCAGACAAGGCCAGGACAAAGACGGCCCAAAGTATGCACCTCGTCGGCACTACATATGCGGGCTTCATGCTAGAACGTGAACCGAGAGTATAGCGGATGCAGACGGCGAGAGTACGTTTTACCGCATGGAGAGTGTAAGAGGAACGCAGAGGCAATAAACACGGAGTGGAGACCACTTTTGACCCCACGTGACAGGGACCGGATCAGATCGCCAGATCTAGGTCCTACATTACGCTCCCACGTGCACAGCAGCTTTTGCTACCGACCATGGCCTCCCAGCGGTATTCCTTGCTGCCCACGTCTCCATCTGAGAATGAAGCCAAGACTTGTTCTTCTCAAGCTACTGTACCAGATGTGCCAATCATACCTCGAACTGCGTTAAGACTATTCTACGCCCTCTCCATACTCATTATCTGCTTGGCCGTTACCAGCGCGACCATCGCTGTCAGAAATGCGCAGCGATACGCAGAGATCGCCAATCCGCATGACATTCCGCGCCCTGATCCATACGTGGGACTCAAATCCATCTCTTGAAGCAATAGGTAAGCTTTGATCTAGTTTTTCCGAAGGCCACCGCGAACCGTACCCGTGGACAGGGCTGAGCCTCAAATGGTCTATTGGAGGTTAACGAGCACGCTAAAACGTAGAATAGTACGTGCTTTTGCGCTCCGTCTGACCCCGAGATCGGCTCATGGACCCCCAATAGTACAGCTCAGAGAGTGTTGCGGGTACGTCAAGACGAGCAATCACCTTCCTGATAATTCACCTGGTCTCCATCATCCTGATACGACCATTGTTTTGTTCTCAGTCAAGTTACAGTACCTTATACTCACGCATGTATGTACCCTTTTTTGTCGATTATTCCCGTTTCATTATGTACTGCACTACGGCTACACACGTAGAAATCCATCGGATGATCGGTTCTGTGTAAAGGAGCCCTCAGCCTTCCTTTTCATGACTGCTTATCCCTTCAAGAGATCACAGACGTAGTTGTGCAGGCTACGCGACCGCGGCTGTATGTCCTGCCTTGTAATAAATCATCGCATCTCGAGTTGGGAATGGAGCGTGCGAAGGCCCTTGCCGCTTATCTTCGCCGAAATTCGCTTGTCTATTTGTACACGAGCCGACTGATACTACTCACGGCAACGGCATGCGCTCGTTGAGCAGTAAAGCAATAGTTTAAAAAAATCTCCAAGGACACGTTTCGGAGGTCAAGGCAAATCAAAACACTTATGCATCCGGTCGGGCCCCCTCGAATTGACACTGACCAGTGACTGGAGACTGAGTACAGCATATACCGAGGTAGGTAAGTTGTCATATGATATGCCAATCCTATCAGCCCCACGCCAACAGAGAGCTACAATCACGACAGACAACGTAAGGGGGTTGATTGTCCTTTTACACGCTAAAACTCTGACATCCGCTGGAGGGCGTTGTCCTATGCCAAATAACACATGCGTGCGCTTGTCGTAGCTAACCTGTGAACGAATGTGAGCTGTCCGGCAGCATGGAGAAGTGATGCGCGAGCGCACTGTCATGATCGATACTACCAGGTCGCGCACTCAGTGGACGAAACACGCGAGTTTCAAAACCGAAAGTGGATTCTAGTGTAGAGAGAACCGATAAAACCCAAGTTTCCTCTCACCTGCTGACAACACAATGCACTGCTGATACCAGGAGCCGTCCTGTAGCACAAGCTATTGACGAACTATAACGCTCAAGGAGGATACTACTCGAGAGAGATGTGTTGCGGCGGACTTGTACGAAGGCTTGTCTCAGGTTGTGTCCATAAATAGCAGTCAGCTCCCACGCCACACTGCCTGATACATTATAAGTTGCAGCTTCAGAATCGAAGTACAGGGATAGCCGAGAGCAAGATTCTTCGTAGGCGTCGTAGGCGTGTGAGATGTGCCATGGCTGTGACAATGCAGTACATTGAGGAAAGAATTCCGCATAAAGAGACCGAGCCACCACTGATCCTCCCGTCAGCCGGACGGCATTCGAGTGCTTGGACCTGAGGCAGGGCCTCCTATCTGTATGGACGGCACAGCATAAAAACACGAGGCCAAGGCATGTGATGGTCATACCTCCAGCACAACGACCCAAGAAGCCAGTTATAGCTGTCGTTGTTTTCGCGTCGTCGTGACAATTTGGTGACAATAACGGCCTTGCGGCCTGGAGACGCGCACATCCCGTCCTGATCGTCGACTTCAATCAATCTCACAAGCTCCGACCTAGTGAGAAGAAGCCCACACACCACTGATGCAGGCTGCGTATGGCGTCCAGAGCGATGACCTGTTCTGATGGCAGGTCCTTCTCCGAGAATACGTTCCGCGGGCGCCAGTAGACAATCGCTGCATATAAAGACGTGGAGGCGACGCTCCGAACACCGCATCGTACCTGCTACCACCCACGCATAGCATCAGCTTCCACGCACTCAACGTTATGTCTCCTGCTTACCTGTATCCACTCGAAACGACACTCAGCCAGTCCGGGTATGACCCGGACACGTTAAACACCGGTCTGCCGCCACGGGAGTCGTCTTCAGCAGTCTCGTCAGGTCAAACAGCCGTCAACGCCGATGATACCTTCGACTTCTCATTGTATGAGCCCTATGGACCTACTGTCGACATATCTGGAGAGGTATGTCTGCTCATAACCAGGATAAAAACCTCCGCTAACCTGTGCAGGAGATCCTCGACGTCAATGATACCCTCGACTTCTTATCGTATGAGCCCTACGGACCCACCTTCGGCATGTTTCGAGAGGTATGTTCACTCATAGCCACGACGAGAAACTCTGCTAACCCTTTTGCACAGCATACCAGTGTCAGTACTGGCCCATCATTCATACTCCCCGACCATCCTGTAATGCACTTCGACAACGGACTACTCGAAGCCATACCTGCGACCTCATACTTCTCCGAACGCCACGCAGAAGCGACATCGCCACCAATGGCCCCTCCGGCTATAACATTCTCCACCTGGTCTCCCTCGTCATCGTCAGCAGCGCTCACACCAGGAGACGAGTCCGACGACATTGCCGGCGCAGCATGGTCGCCGCCCTACCAGGACAGCACGTTCGGCACGCACGTATGGCACCAAGAAGCCCCGTGTCTGCCATTCACAGAGACCGCTCGGTACGTCTCTGAGCCGGATATAGGCTACGGCAACGGCATATACCTCGCCAGCACACCGGTATTATACCCGCCCTTGCCTTCATCACCCTTTGCCAGCATCTCCGCACTATCGACGTCGTTCTCGGTACCGGTCATGGCACCCAATCACGGCACAGCTACAGGTTTGGCATCAGCACCATGCGCGAGTATGCAACGCGTACCCCGCATGACCGCATCCGGTCCACCTATGGTGGAGCGGATAAAAGCACACACAGAATATGGACATTGCAACTCGGACAACAGCACTATGCTTGTTCCCGACATGTTCAACAACAATATTGGATTCTTCCCCGACCAGGACGCCACCACACCATCTGAGACTTCTGCAGGTCCTTCGCACATGAGCTCTCGTGTGAGGACAGAAGCCCGATGCGGCGGCAAGCAGTCTATGCATCCTCAAGCCTCGGTCGAGCTCCCGAAGACTCCTGGGTTGCCCCGCACGGCCGGAAAGCGCAAGCAGCGCGACGACGACCTCACAGACGACCCCACGGACGATACATCCTCCCGCCATCCTTCAAAGAAGGCGAAAAAGGCCACCAGCCACGCTGAATCTGCACATACCAGCTACGAGGACGTGCCACAACCGGCGTGGTATGGCGGATGTATCCCGCCCGATCCCAAAAAGCCACATCCGTGCCCATACTGCACAGATAAGTGGTTCAGCTGCTCATACGATGTCACACGCCATCGCGAGAGCGTAAAGAGCTGTCTCGGATACTTAGAAAAGGGGGAGATCCCCTGCGATCTCTGTCCTTCCATCTTAACACGTCGAGACGCATTGCGACGTCATCAGAAGGAGAAACACCAAAATGGCTACAAGACGATGGCAGCAACCCGACAGTCATGAGCGAACAAAGCACACTAGACGCACCACTCGAGGGCCGACACCGTTTCACGACATGCATACCATCCTCACGGCTTCAATCTTGTCTTCATTCGATGCTTGGTTGGGGTCCGTCATTCCTCTTGGTTCCCTCTTTGTCCTTGTCGTCCGTCCTGTTTATGTCTGAGTCCATCATTCACGCACGCCTCGATATACCCACTTTACCTTTGATATACCCCCGATGGCGTTGCATATACATTATCAGAAAGCAGTCCCTACGCCTGTTATAAACCCTGCCATTGAATATAAGTGAGATGAATTTGAACCTGAAGAATGAGCATGATTAATCTGAAAAGGCGATTGCAAGAGGTCTGATAGCACTGCACAAGAATGTGTTCGAAGATTATGTCCGGCAGCATGTAGGTGCACATGGCAGATATTGCTACTTATTCGTAGCCGTCACGCACGCTTTGAGACGCAATGTGCTCGCCCACGTTTCCCACCCTGCCAGAATTGACGAGAACGCAGCACGGCACAAGATGTCCAAAACACGGATAGAAGCGGGAGGACACGAGCGGCGCCAACAGTGACGTGGGCTAGCGACAGGTCATAGCGCGATCGATTATACAATTCTGTTGAGTATGACCTAGAATGACTACATCACCGCGACAGTGGGTATCCACGAGCCTGGGTATTTGTGTTTGCGCACGATATGCGGTTTCACGCACGTAGCGCATACCAGCAAGAATGTTTCTGAACGAACCTGTAGTCAGCCAATTGAAGCTATAGCGTATACTATCTCGTGATAAACGGTCCATACAGACAAAGGTTTACCATGGAACGGATGTCTATTGTTGAGATATATGGTCGAAAGACAGGCCAGTGCCAAGGAGGGTAATGCGCGAGACGTTTGTGAGGTTCCAGAGTAGAGAGCCCCGCGATGGATTGAATATCGAGAGATATGCATCTTTTATGAGCATGTAGATTTAAAAGCCGTGTCGGTTTGGTCGTCAGAGGCACGGGAAGAGAAAGAGAACCTAACGATGAATGACGGAAGGAGGACGAGATGCAAAGTTCGCCCATCCGAAAAAAAGTCTTGCTAGCCGATCAAATCCATATCCGATCATCCACGTGGGATGTCGGCATTCTCCCGCCGCCGTACCAATCCAACTGCGTTCAAATTCGTAACGACCATGTGGAGAACTGTGGCTTTGAACACAGCATTCTATAATTGCCTGTGTGCGCCGCAATCTCACTTCTCCGGCGGGACACTCCTTGTTCGTGTCTACGTGTTACAGTCGCTTACGGGACTTATTGGCCGTTTCTTATGTACAAGTCACGCTGAGGAAAAATCCCAGTCAAGCTTTTCTAATCTTCCCAAAGCTGGTTCGACATCGCAATCGTGGCTCGGGGCCCGCCGACATGCGTCATCGGAGATTGCTAGTATAACTTGACGCTGCACACTTAGCTTGTGAAGTCAGGTCACGTCCGCGACAGGCCTTTACGTGCCATCGAAGAGCGATTCTAAAAGGTACGCGTATACTCCACGAGATGAGCAGAGTTTTAAATATATCATTTTCCGTATTGAGCGACCTATCGCGTCTCGTCTCGCACTGTACGCCTAAACACCCAGACTCTATGACCTGTCCGGAATATAGCATCGAGATAGACGGGAACGAGACCTTCACACGCTGCTGTTGACTGCTCTTGCGATGTTAGCACTACAGTGTATCTCACTCGTAGTCACCTTATCCCTACGGTACGCATGATCAATATCTAGGTCAAGATGCAGATTACGTTATTGTAGTGCGTTCACAGACACATTCGAAACTCACCATCCACCCAAGACGGCGACGTATAATCCACATATTCCAGGGCATCTTCAATGGTCCGACTCATCGGCATCGTGAGCTGTTCCAGATATGGTTCGGTCTGGGCGTCATACCGCGTTATCCGCCACCATTTGTGTGGGGCCTGTGGCGTGGAAGTAGCGGGCTCGACAGCGATGTAACGGAGGGATGTGATGCTCATCGCGAGGATAGGGCAAAATCCTAGCGCATCCTGTCCACCTTGAGGCACGTCACGGCCAGGAAGATCCAGCAGTATACATAGCGCGTGAACTGGTAGGGTACTGAGGACAGCTGGAATCTTGCTCTGGAGTACATTACACATTGAATTAGATGACGACCATGTCACATCGTGGGATCGCACGTACCTTCCAAGCCGACAATGCCCTGACCCAATCCTCTTTTGGCAGCAAACCACAAAACTCCATCGTAAGGTAACGCAAGTGCGTGCACGCCTTCGCGAGATGCGAGACCATATTGGGGGGGAGGTCTATGGGTAACCTGATACGAAGTACGGTTGTTTTACAGGCTTGGACACAGGAAACCGCGTTATGGAGCCATAGAGCTTGTGAGCTCGGGAGTACCATCTTGCGTACAGGACAGGCGATACGCAGCATAGGCAAGGCTGCAGCGCTGATATCGAGGAAATCCAAGCTCTGCCAGGTAGCCGAATCTATCAGGTCCTCGTGTTGTTGTATCTCATTCATATACTTGTTGTTCGACAGTGTAAGCGACTGCAGCTGGGGGAAGGCTCTGGATAGGATTGGTCGAAGAGATTGTGCAACAGGAGCCATAACAATGGCGTAACTGATTGTGAGGTTTTGCATCAGCGGCCAATGCATGCCGTCCTCGTTGTCGTTCACTTTGCCTCCCGACAAGTGTAATTCCTCCAAGGAGTCGCGGAAGTTAGCCAGGAGCGCCCATATAGAAAAGGGTGCCTCCCTGAAAAAAGGAATTGTTCTGAGCGTGACGCTTCGAAGCGGAGTTTGGAAAAATGTCATGAAGGAGTAGGTGTGCGTTCCCAGGGTGATTTTGAGCGATTGTAGCCTGGGAAGCGCTTGGACTGCGTCTCCTATGCGGGCATCGAGGGAGAGCAGTTGTTCGAGGGAGTCGAAGTCGAGGCATCGGAGGTTTTTTGCACTGCGTAGAAGATCGATGATGGAGGGAAGTATCTCTTTTACACTGTCCATTGTATTGAACAGACCACCGATGTTCGCGAGGCAGAGGTCTTGCAAAAAGAGTGTACAAGTGTACTCTCGAGCAGACGCGAACATACAGAAGCTGCGAATCGTTACCACAGACCTCCATGACGGATATCCCACTCTTGAAATCATTCGCGGTAGAGCCAAGTCATAAAGCAGATGGCATGCTAGTGCGCACATCGCGGCCTCGTTAGACGACAAATATGAGAAGATGAGGTAAAGGACATCGTTGTTAAGGCGAAGCAGAGTCATTAGCCTTCGACAAGTGCTGAGCGAGACAGAGATATGAGATAACGCAGTAATTTGGGATAATAAGATCTTACTGGTGTCAGCGACCCAACCTTGAGCACACTGTGTATCTTCAGAGAATGGGACATTTCTGGTCGTGCAATTGTGTCGCGCTCCGTCACATATCACGTGCCGCAACATGTCACCGCCACGTCTGCCTGACCCCTACGCGGGGACAATCTTTTGAAGCCTGTTCGGTCTCCTCCGTGCCAACACAGTCCACTCAACTTGTGCTCAGGCTGTGAAAAAAATCAAAAATGGAGACGACTCCTTGTGAGAGTACTTCACATGGGTGGATCGGACGTGATCAAGACGTATCTCTCCGTGCACCATCGTGTGTTCGTGCCCTCAAACGTTCTCCTTGACAGCGTGCGCGCATTCTTAGAGCTTGAAGCTTGCGTATGCATTGCAAGTGATAGCAGATGTACTCATGGATACATATTGTGCAAGCATTGAATGCAAGGCCATGACTCGCGGGAGACTCAAGCGACGGTATGAGAGCAGTACGTTGGAAGTATAGTTTCTGACTTAGGACCTCCTAGACTCAGAAGAGGAGTACATAATCCCAATCAAAACTCCATGCGGGTCTGGGCGTTGCATTTTGGCTGCGACGTGCAGCAAACGCACATTGCTGTTCGCGTTTTTTATACAAGTTGATTTGGCAGCAATGTCTTACCCGCGACATCGGACCCAGTTTAACGGCAACGACCAATTGGCTGTGTATGATTGCAGCTTATATGTCGAAGAGAAGAGAGAGGCTGAAAAGGTTGAGGACTGCGAATTATTGTAAGGTGCGTTATTCTATTCTTTTAGTCCCCATCCTCGCGGTTGCTTTGGACCGAGAGGCATTATTTCTCTCCATATTGATGCAGAGTCTCTGTGTTGTATGATCATATGCATACACCCTTGAGGCGATACGTAGCTCTGCAGGATGGCGTCAGCTGGAGGGTTACATGACGAACATCGATTGACGGTGCGAACGTACATGGTGGGTAGAAGACGGGCTAGTCAACCGTCGAGATGGGAGAAGACATGGAACAGCCGCAGCGGGAATCGGGTGAACATAGTACCTGATGACGCCTAGGTCGAGGCTGCTGGTCACGGGCCATAGTGTAGCAAGTCAAGCCTTATCGGGCTGCTCGTCGGCCGAGCGATATCATTGTGGCTTTGTGGTGCGTCGAGCCTTGTCATGTCCGTGTCTTTTTCGCCGCCACCCGCCGTGTGCCGTATTCGTCGTTCTCATCTCGTTTTCCTTTTGTACTGTCTGCCGAGGAAGGCTTCTCCTCGGAGGGCGTGGTTCCCCTGACATATTAATCAGCGACGGAACTCTTCTAGGGAAACCTGTAATACCAGAGGACACGTCGACTCACGCTTCAGCACCCATGGATCTATTTGATGCCTGGAGCACGAACTGCTCCGTCTTAGCCTTGCTTCTAGGCTTCAACCTGATTGTGTGGCTATTGTCAGTCCATTGTCGTGTGGATCGCTCTGGCGTCCGCGATACCGCGCCATGCAGTCGTCTCCCGCTACAACCCCGTGCGGAATGCGTCGAGTTCCACGACGCCCATGCAGGTTGGTAATGGCTTTTTTGCCTTCGGCGCGGACATCTCCGGACTGCAAACCTTCCAACCGTGGGCAATCATGTCCGACTGGGGCTGGAAAAACGACATTCTACCGGCGGGTGTTA